AAACAAAAATTCTATTTTTTATAAAAATTTTGAAATATGTGGGCTAACCCCTACGAAAAAGCTAAATTTTTTAGTTAATTACTATATATACTATTTACCATCTTTCGTGTTGTCTAAAAAAATACCTAAACACACTCCATATATTTATATATGTTTGCTAAACTTATCTTTATGGTACATGTGAATCATTTGAAATTTTCCAATGATTAATTTATTTAACATTCAAATACCATTTAATATGTGGATTAACCCCAATAAAAATCCTATTTTTTAGAGAAACGAAAACATTTAAGGTCTCAAACCTATTTAATATTCATACTATGGCGGTGTATGATGCATCTATGCATCAAAACAAAAATTCCATTTTTTATAATTTTCTTGAAATATGTGGGCTAACCCCTAAGAAAAAGCTGAATTTTCTAGTTAAATACTATATATACTATTTAACATCTTTTGTGTTGTTTAAAAAATACCTAAACCCACTCCAAATATTTTTATATGTTTGCTAAACTTTTCTTTATGGTACATCTGAATTATTTTAAATTTTCCAATGATTAATTTATTTAACATTCAAATACCACTTAATATGTGGATTAACCCCAATAAAAATCCTATTTTTTGGAGAAACGAAAATATTTAAGGTCTCAAACCTATTTAATATTCATACTATGGCGGTGTATGATGCATCTATGCATTAAAACAAAAATTCTATTTTTTTATAAAAAAATTGAAATATGTGGGCTAACCCCTATAAAAAAGCTGAATTTTCCTTTTAATACTATATTTAGTATTTACCATATTTCGTGTTGTTTAAAAAANTGGAGAAACGAAAATATTTAAGGTCTCAAACCTATTTAATATTCATACTATGGCGGTGTATGATGCATCTATGCATTAAAACAAAAATTCTATTTTTTTATAAAAAAATTGAAATATGTGGGCTAACCCCTATAAAAAAGCTGAATTTTCCTTTTAATACTATATTTAGTATTTACCATATTTCGTGTTGTTTAAAAAATACCTAAACGCATTCCAACTTTTTATATATATTTGCTAAACTTATCTTTATGGTACATGTGAATCATTTTAAATTTTCCAATGATTAATTTATTTGATTGAATTTGATTCAGTCTAGTTATTGGGTCACCTGAACAATCCAGACTTTCTTTTTATTTGAGTAAAGATTACTTGGTTCAAACATTCAAGTAATATCTTTGGTGACTTTTTAATATTTGGGATTTGTCTTGTATTAATCTGAATACTATGATTTGTTTCATTGAGTTATTTTCGTGATCAATACTTCTCCAGAATAATTAATGTGTCTTCAAAAAGGAAAGTATTTTCATTTATATTATACTGCTGAGCGCTGACAAGAAGCAACATAACATTAGAAAATTTTATGTAAACTTTTGAATGTTTCTTTTAAATCTAATTTCGCTACTGAGACAAATTTTATTTGTTAGAAACAGTTTAGGGTTATAACAATATAAATATTTCATTTAAACATCCGTGAAATGTCGGTAGAATGTTCCTCTAGTAACTGGATTGGTGGCAATTGTTTACCATTTTAGTGGATATAGTTAGTTTCCATTTTTTGATATTTAAACCTTACAACCCTAACATGAATGATAAATCAACGTATCTCCCTCCATCTGCTTCTTAAAAACCCACAGTAATTCTCACAATATTACATTTAAAACTTTTTAGTAGCTCAGTCATATCCCTTTAGCACCTAATCATGCAATTTTATTACAGATGAAGAGAAAACTAAACTAGAGTTGCTAATGTTTCCCTCCCGAAATCTATGAGTTTAAATAACAAAAATGCAAATATTGGGCATTTAGGAGTCTAGTTTCAAGTAGAGTGTAGACGTGAGTTATCTTCACCATATAAACAATAGTTTCATCGGATCCGGAATCACATTTGCAAACTAACAAACAAACAAAAACTTGAGGCTCACATTAAAAGACAGCATTTCCAGTTCCTTGCTATGATATTGATAGCAACAAGTAATGAGAGTAGCTTTGTTGGATACACATGTCTCTACTTCCTCATCTTCTTCTCCGTCCGAGTTAACCAAGTCCAGTACATAGCACATCGATGACTCAGCGTGAGAGGAGTCGTGAGACTGAGACGGAGACAGAAACGGATGTTTCAAAAGCTGATCGCAACTCCATCTCTGGTTCAGGTCTCTCTTCAGACAGTTTCACCCGAGAGATGGTATGTATCAAAAACACCAGAAGGATCTTTTCACCTGATACATCTTTGCAAGAAATCAAGAGGAAGCCACTTCTTTGGAGAGCACCGTCGCCAAACCATCGAGGACCACCAGAAGCTACATGAGATTGAATACGCTGGTCCCTTATATAACACTCTCTGCGATTGCAGAAGCAGCCGTGTTACATGTTCCAGGTACCAGAAACATACAGTTATTTGTCAGAGAATAAATGTTCCTTAGAACCTCATGAGACTCATAATAAGGGATTTAATGAGTTATAGCGCGTCGAAATGAAAGCTCTGAATTCCTTCTTATAATTGGAGTTAATAGCGCATGGAAATGAAGCTATGTTTTGGTCACCACCACCTCTGTCGCAGCATCAAGGTCTGAGCCAAATTGAGCAAAAGCGGCTCCCGTTCTAAACCCATGACCAATATGAACTCAAAGTTTTCTTCCTAACCCCAGGAAGATAGTGGCTAAACAATGGACCAAATTCTTATGAATAAATTGTGAGGCCCTTTTGCAAGGCTTTCCAAAATTCATACAAATGGGAAAACAAAATCTTATTTTTAGACAAAATATATTTTAATAATCATACGATGAATTTTCTCTCTATTAATGTTATCTATTCTATTAAAACGGGATCATAAACAGTTGATAGTCCAACAAAAAATATAACTATACCTATAATATAACTGCACCAGTGACAAAAAAAATATATATATAACTGCACAAAGGTGTATTACGGAACCGTATACCTTCCATGTCCAAAATTCACGGTACCAATGTCTCTCTTTGCTGACAGTGGCGTATATATAATGACATTATTTTTTTTTTCCTTTTTGGCTTTATTAAGTACAATTGTTAACCTATATTATTTTATTATACTACAATTACCATTGAAATCTGTTATATTATATACATGAATCATCAGTATTGATATTAGCATGTTATTCAGTTACGTAATGTAGTAATGTATTCCATCCAAATTATTTCTGTATGTTATTCAATAATCTCAATTTTTTTATAGAAATAAATATTAATTTAAATTCATTTAGACAAGCTTTGAATGGGTTATTCTGTTAATTTTTTGTATTATGTGTGATTTTACTTAAAGTTATTGAAAACCATGTTAATAATTGAGGATGCAAACAGATAACTCTAATAGATCTTAAAATAAATGTAAATGATTTAATTTAAAAAGAAATATAAATAAGATGAGTTTTGAATGGATTGGATTTAATCATTTTAAATTTAAAAGGAATATAAAAAATGTTGGTTCTTTTGGATATTATTTTCTGATTTTGAATCAAATCTCATTCATGTATTATAAACCAGGGCAGGTTTTGAGTCGGGTTTTCCTAGGTTTTGAGTCGGGTTTTAATAGATATGGTTGAGGTACAAATCTCATGTAAAAAAATAGAAAACCTCTAGATATATGCTATATTTGGTTCGGATCTGAATATTTTTAACCAAAATAACCAATTTACTCGATTAGGTTTGCGTGTCTAATATCTAAATTACCTAAAATTACCTATAATAACTAAAAACTAGATTCTGACTCATCCTCTCAGACAGCAGGTATATCATTTGTTTTACATATATTTTTTAGAAATTTAATTTTTATATTTGTGCCTTTCTTTTGTAACTATAAGTGTTTTTATTTTTAATCATATTTGTGGTGTTCTTTGTAATCTTATTTGTGTAATTCTTTTTAATTATTACTAATAATTTTGATTATAATTTCATAATTTAGTTATCTATATTATTTTCTGTAATATTATGTGTACTAAACCTTAGTAATAATTAAATCATGAAACTTTAATCAAAATTCTTAGTAATAATTAAAAAATAATAATTACACCAATATGATTACAAAGAAAAACACAAATATGATTACAAATAAAAAACACAAATATAGTCACAAAGAAAGACACAAATATATTTGTGTAATTCTTTTTTAATTATTACTAATAATTCTGATTAAAATTTCATAATTTAGTTATCTATATTATTTTCTGTAATATTATGTGTACTAAACCTTAGTAATAGTTAAATCATGAAAGTTTAATCAAAATTCTTAGTAATAATTAAAAAAAAATATTACACCAATATGATTACAAAGAAAAACAAAAATATGATTACAAATAAAAACACAAATATAGTCACAAAGAAAGACACAAATATCTGCCCTCCGAGTATCTTTCTTTAAAAGATACTCGGAGGGCAGATCAAAATCTCGTTTTTTTTTAAATTATTAATTTTGTCAAAATTCTTTGTCTATTCAAGAACTTCAGTTATTTTAATATTAAAATCAAGTAGTTTACAAATGTTGAAAAGATTCCCATAAATTTGTTCAAACCACTTGTTAAACTTATTGAATGTTAAAAGAAGAATATCTTTTTGATATATTTGATTGAAGATTTTTTTTGCTACAAAAAAGTTACTAGTATTGTATATCCGGATTTACTACTACTCACTTTCAAGTCAAAACAATATAATTTTTTGCCAACCAAGAATTACTGTATATTAAGAAGTTGATTTATATTACCATATTTTTCTTTGACCAGAAAGCAAATGTTATTCTGTACGTTGTGTCAGTAATGGCATTATATGTTAAAGATGTTTTTTTTTTTGTAGTAAATGTCAAATTAAACTTTAATAAATAATTAAATTGTATAATAAAATCAAATTAGGGTTGGAAATTTTGTTGAGAACGCCACACCCCAAATGCATTTGTTATATATCTCTTTCGCCCCCCTTAATTTGCTTAGCCTTTCTCTCATCTGTAGTGTAAGTTTGCTTTTGCCTGCACCTGAAACAGATGAACAAAATACACTTCCATATATAAGCAAAATTCATATCCCAAAAACTTATATAGATCAACACAATATAGACTAGTGCCTCACCCTTGTTTGCACCTCCATCAAGTTCTTGAGCGCCGGCAAGAACCTGACCAGCTTCTGCTTCATCACAGTGAGCTTGAGCTCTAAGATGTGCCAGCTTCTGAGTCCTCCTTTCACCTCTTCCTTTGGTCATCTTACCAAAACTAAGTTTGTCATCTTCTGGGAGACATAGACTTGACATCAGCTTGGGGTAGCTAGTGTGCAATAGGTGGTACGTATCCATGGCGTCACTAATGGGACGTCGTCTCATCGAAGGGCGAGGTTCAGGGGTTTGATCACGTTCACCACCGGCATGATCATCAGCAGGAGGAGCTCCTCCCATATCACCATCATCATGAACAGACTCTTCAGATTCACTGTCCTCAATCAAAGTTCCATTGCGGAGATATTTTTCGCAAGCCCGCTCATAATCGTCGTCGTCAAAAGATCAACCACGTTCAAGACCATCATAATCGTCGTCGTCAAAATATCCACCACGTTCTAAAGCACAAAAATATTTGGAGCGGAATGCACAACGCCTGGTCTCAAGTAGAGTATAGTAGCCATGAGTTATCAAGAAGAGACAACAGATATTTGGAGCAGAATCTTACAAAGCGTGGTCTCACTTTTATCACACCAAGTAGTTTCGTCGGATCCGATAGAATCACATGTGCAAACTAACAAACGAACAAAAAAACTGAGGCTTGCATTAAAAGACAACATATCCTTGTTATGATGTTGATAACAACAAGAAGTAATGAGAGTAGCTTCGGTGGATACACATGTAATTCTAGAACAAATCATAATATACTCCATTAATAAAAATAAAATCATCACTACTTCATATGGCACCTCCGCCGCCGAGTCCCGGTTTCCCGGCGGTCTATTCGGATACACGGAACCGTCAATCCTCGCCGACTCATCAGCCACGTCATCGTACGGATTCAATGAAGTGTTGTAGTCCAAGTATTCTATCGTTGCCTCTTCCTCTTCAGAAGGGTGGCTTCTAACATCCACCCAACCATCTATTTCCCAATTTAGCCTTTGGGTCGTCGCTAAATTACAGATCCTTGCCATCGCCGTAAATTTGAGTTTCGAACTCCACTCGCTTCTCTCTACTTCCTCTTCTTCTTCTTCGTCCGAGTTAACCCAGTCAAGTACATAACGTGGAGATGACTCAGTGCGACACGAGTCGATAGACTGAGACTCAGACAGAAACGGATGCTGCAAAAGCTGATGGCAACTCCATCTCTGCTTCATGTCTCTCTTCAGACACTTGTCTAAGAAGTCCCGTCCCGTTTCCGACAGCTTCATCACTGGGACAACCGGTAACTCGTCTGAGAAACCGATTCGACTCAACGAGTCAACCCCGAGATCTTCCCAAGCGGGTTTACCAGTGAGCATCTCTACGACCGTGCAGCCAAGAGACCACACGTCGCTCTCCGGCCCTTGATACTCTCCTCTGATCACCTCCGGAGCCATCCAAAGTGGACTTCCACGTGGCGTAATCCGAGCCGTAGCCTCCGGTCTGCTAAATTTCATCGCCGACCCGAAATCCGCTAGCTTGACTCCGGAGCTCCGGCTGATGATGAGAACGTTCCTCGCCTTGACGTCGCAGTGAACGTAACCTCGCGAGTGGACGTGGCGGAGAGCGGAGACGAGGCACGCCGTGTAACGCCTTAGAAGAGTCTCGTCGATTCCTCCGGGAGCGTTTTTAGCCACGTCACCTTCTGGGAGATACTCTAAGTGGAGATTGCGAAACGACGTCGTTCCTTCTTTCGAGGTTCTGTCGCCAAGGAATTGCACTATGTGAGGATGAGGCGTGAGCGAACGGAGAACGGAGATTTCGTTCTCTAGAGACTCTAATTGAGTGGGAAGACACGTGGCGTGATCCACGGACTTCACTGCGAAAATTTCACCGTCTGTTTTGCTGATCGCCGTGCTGACTGTACCGAAACAACCTCTTCCGATGCACGCACCACGGGTCCAAGAAGATGAAGAAGAAGTGTTTGTGATGCTCTGTTTCTCCATGTGTGATAACTTTTCATATGTCGTACTTAGAGCATCTCCAAAAAACTCTCTATTATAGAGTTTGCAAAACTCTATATTTGAAGTTTGAAGGTGTTATACTCCAAAAGTAAAACTTTAAACCAAACTTCAAAACTATTTGTATTTTATAAAATGGTCCTTATATTTGTCATAACTAATTCAAAGTCATAAAATTTTATTAAATAACTATCATGTATTAAAGTATTATAAAAATATTTTTTGATAAAATGTTACACTAAAATATAAAACTCTAAATAGAAATATATAATTAAATATTAAAGTACAAACAAAATACCATATTATAGCATGTAATATTGTTGTTGTCTAGTTCTAGTTTTAAAATATTTTAAAGATTATCTTGATGTTTTTTAAAAAAATATATATATATAATTTAAATTTAGAAAAATAATTTTGAATTATTTATGAAATAAGAATTTTGAAGGATTAACATGATAAAAATAAAAATATTGAAAATTATTATAAATATGATGTGAAATTGTAAAGACCAAAATGCAAATAAAATATTAAACTTCAAATTTGAAGTTTTGAATAGTGACACTCTATATTTGAAGTTTCACTACTCAAAACTTCAAATTTGAAGTTTTAGAGTTCCTTTTTGGAGAGATAAAAACTTCATATTTGAAGTTATAGAGTGTCTTTTGGAGATGCTCTTACGAAACACGAAGCTATTTATATGTGTTTTTTTTTTTGGAAACTTTGAGATAGAAAATGTGAACGTGAAATAAAGTTGCAAATTGTTTTTTTTTTTGCTGACATGGCAATAATTGTCCTTGCCATTTGCAAAGTTTCATCTTTTTACAAAATTCCCACGTGGATATATCATGTACAACGCAAACTCTCATCTCTATCACTACATTTTTTTCACAAAATTCTACGATGTTCGATGGTCAGGTTAATTTTGGATTTTACGATTAGGATATATTGAATAAGATCTAATTTTTAATCTATGAAAATGCTACATTGTTCATTAGTTGTTTTGAAAACATAGCAAGAAAACAGAAAGGAAAATTTAAAATTTAGAAGAAAGTTTGCATGGCACTATGGACACTTGGAGAAGTTATCGGGATATATATGCACTTGCCATTTCTCTGTAGTCCTTATCCACCAAGAATCAAGTTGCGGTTTGATCTTTGTCTCTTGATTTTTTAACTCCCACAAAGGATATATTACTGTCGCACTCTTCACGCAACCGTTTTGGTTTTGACATCAACATTTTAAAATTCTATATGTAGAGTAATTGCACAAATGACATGATCACGTTGATCCAATCACTCAGACAAATCGTGGGAAAGACAAATCAAAATGAGCAGTTAAAACGTGCCGATAGATTTGGGACGCTTGATATCTTTTCACAATTTTGGTTTATGCTATTATTATGGCTGTTTACATGATCAGACATGGAATATACGGTAGCCGACGTATAAATCATTAGCAAAGGATTCATGAATCTAAACATGTATATAGCCAATCATTAAACAGGTATATAAATATAATTATTCTCGTCATGGTGCACAGTAACAGGATTGGTATGCAAAGTAGAGGATATCAGGATTAATATCCGGAATGGTCAAAAGGGAGAAGAGGTTGCCGAAAGGGAGTGGATTTTTAAGACGGTGGTCCATTGTGGCATGAAACCATTGGTTGATCAGGCTCCACCCATAGACTATAGTGAAAGAATTACTTAATTATTTGTCGTTGGGATCATCAAGCACACGAATTTACTCTAAAACGTTATCCAAAGATATCACGGAGATACCAAGTTCGATAGGAAGGTTGAGAAGGATAACTATGCTATTTTAAACTTTTAATTGAAGAGATGGCTGTTACGAACATTTAAAAATGGCTATTTGAGATAAATTTTCAATAGAAACTCCACTATATACATATTTGAGAAATATCGTATATGATTGATTATATATTCTTTCCAGTCTTTGAATTTGCGTACCAAAGAAAATATATTATTTGTGTGTATTGTGGACTGCTTCGTTGTGATTCGATCTGGATACTCCATTCATACGTGTAAATTATATACAATGTGATTGTAGTGATATTATTGATAGACGTCTACGGAATTCACACATAACAAGTATCTAATATGGTTACTGTACATGAGGTATTTATACGATGAGAAACTTATTTGCATAATTACTTAGTGAAAACTATACAAATGTTTATGTCAACAAAAATCAATTGATCACATGCTTAACAAGTAGATCACAATATATGAAAATGATCTTACTCTCTGACTATGTTTAACAAAGGTCTAACACACATATGAATTAGCGGTGTGCAATATATTATAGAAAATGGTCATCTTGAGTAGTAACCAATCAAATGATTTTGCATCAAACAGTAATCGAAATTTTAGGATTGATTGTTCGATACACTCCTTGGTTTGTCTGGTTTAAGATTAACATACTTTTTCTTTAAACTTCTCTCAAGTAGTATTCAGAAAACCAAATACACTGTAACACAATATCCGGATTGAACATCTCTAATCCGAATGAAACCGAACTATTGTTTCATTTTTAAAAACATAATAAAAATAATAGCTTCATTCCGTGCAAGGCGCGGGTCTTATCCTAGTACGGTATTAATTAAGTAAAAGGGTTTGTATATATATTTTTTTGAACAAATTTTTTTGAATCTAAATAAAGAATTTAATCAATAAGACGTGAATCAAATTACATGGGAAAAACTTTGAACTAAAATTGCATATAGTTGTGAATCAAATTACACGAACCTTACAATTTGTTTGTTTTTAATTTGTAATCCCAAATGCATGTTTTATGTGGTATATACTAATAAATTTATTTGTAATTTAGGAGGTAAACCCACCGGTTCATGTAAAGTCTCATATATTATATAAATTTATTAAATTAAATAAGGAAATAAGAAGGTACCAAAAATAAAAAGAGACGAAAAGAAAAATATTATAAATCTGATTGTCTCATATATTCTTTAAATTTATCAAATTAAATAAGGAAATAAGAAGGTACCAAAAATAAAAAGAGACGAAAAGGAAATTATTATAAATATGGAAAAAAACAGCTTCCCTTGTTCTTTGCAACAATCTTCTAAGAACTCCTTAACTCTAATAGGAGTTTAAATTCCTTTTAACTTTATTAGGAGTTTAAATTCTTTTATTGCTTGTTCATCCATGGCTTTGTTGACGTCGAGATACTTATGATAGTAATCAGAGTGGGTCTCCAGACACTTCATCATTGTCATATGCTTATCATCAGAGTCCTTACCATCAGAGTCCTTACCATCAGAGTCCCTATCAATGGACTTTATCCATGATATATATGATTCTTTGCAAGGGCCTCCTTCCATGTAGTCCGCCAACTGACCTTCATGGGGGAAGACGGCATTGTAACCCTCCGTCACCACTCTGGTAGCGATTTCCTTAGCCTCGGGATACCAATGAGCCCGCTTCAGCTTAGTCTTGGCTTCTTTACAACCATCTTCATGTGGAGAACAAGTGGATTTAGAATTCCCCATATTTGCTTTAATGGTGGCTGTGTTTTAAGATAAAATAAACTGACATTAATATACTAGGGATCTGAGATTTGCTTGCGATGCAAGGCGATGAAAAAAATGAAAATTTTCCAAATAAGAAGATACCTATCCTAGTTACCTTGTTTTTAGAATTTTTCCATATAAATGTGTTTTGGCCAAAGTACGTAGTTATGGCCATAATTTGCAAGTCTTAACAGCCAAGTCTTGTTATCTGCATAACTTTATATTTATCGTGAAAATTTTAAGAATATTATTTACTGTTTTAATAATTTTTATTTTTTATTTTATTTACTTTTTATTTATTGTGAATTAATTTCGCTTACATATATGTTTCCTTACCACCCATGATTTTGTTTTTTGTTTTTACATCAAAATCAGAATATCTTGCGAATAATCTGGTTTAGCGCACATAATATTCCAGTTTGTTCTACATGATCATCAAGACAATATCAAAGATTCCATAATTGCGCAAAACACTTACAACCTCCTTAGAATATCTTACAACCGAATACAAGAACCATGTCCCAGTTTGATAGGTACTTCTTCGGTTTATTTCAACGGTTTCAGTCCAAGAGATGCTCTGAGTCTATTAGCTTCTGCAATCGCAGGATCCGGATGATCTGTGCCATCTTCCTTCATCTTCTCCTTCTTCTCCTTCTTTTTCTTTGGTTCCTCCCTATCATCAGTCTCATGTCTCTTACGATCTCTACTCCTGCTTCTACTTCTCCGCCTTGCCCTCTCTCTTTCTCTGTCCCTGCCTCTTTCCCTCTCCCTATCTCTGTCCCTATAGTGATCTCTGTCTCTGTCTCTCTCCCTATCCTTGTCTCGTTCACGCCCACGTTCCCTTTCATAGTCTCGATCCATGTCATAGTCTCTATCATAATCACGGTCCCTGTGTCTATGACTGTCACGTCTCCTGTCTCTGTCTCGAAATGAGCTTCATCTTCTCAGTGCTTGTTGGCTTTTGGTCTACAGAGGGGCGGACTCTTTCAGCCTGATTTGAACCATGGTTAGGTTTTTGTAAGATGTGCGCATTTATGCATTGCAAGTCTAACAAGATAAACAAGTATAACAAGATCACGCACAAGCGTTTGTATCTCTAAGAGAAACGAGATGTCTAAACAAGAAAGTCATGCCTTCTTATAAGATGTGCTCATAAGTTGTAAGTATGTATGTACAGGAGATCATAAACAAGAAGTTACTTTTTGCCAAAGATAGATTCAGATAAACACCAAATGAGATATTTAGATGATCTGTAAGCAGGTACCTTAAACGAGATGTGCTNGGAGATCATAAACAAGAAGTTACTTTTTGCCAAAGATAGATTCAGATAAACACCAAATGAGATATTTAGATGATCTGTAAGCAGGTACCTTAAACGAGATGTGCTACTGAGACACTGGATTTGGTCACTAGAATTGAACCTTTTGGGCCCATTTTTACAATCACCCACTTTGATCCCTTCCCATTCCTAAGAATTTCTTGTCCTGCTTTTACAGGATTCCTGATGCCAGTTGGAGACTCCGCCTGAGTATTTCATCAAACAAGTCAGCAACCATTTGATCAGTTAACTTATTATTACCAATACAGATTACCATATTTTAATTACACAGACACACTGCATCACTAGGCTGAACACGCTACGACCAAGAGAAAGGTAGTGTACATGAAGCAACAATTAAAACGTACCTCCTCAGAAGTTAGTAGAAGAACATCACTCATTCTTAATAAATGGGCAAGTGCTCTTCGCTCATCAGGAGTTCCCTTGGAAAGACTCTTTTGAGCTTACTTGTATTCAGCAAAAAACGTTGATGATGATGATGTTGGTTGATGATGATGATGTTGATGATGATGATGATGTTGATGACATACTCTTTATTTTTCTTGGGAGAGAGGGTGAGAGAATAACCGCAAACAACACTCTATAAAGGTAAGGTACGTACACTCACACAACACACAACACGCAAAAAAAAAATAGGAGAGAGAGAAAAAAAAAAGACAAAATGAGGAAAGGATTGTTTGATTTCTGTGTGAAGATGATGAAAGTTGGAAGGAGGGTGATCGTTCCTAAGTTGAAGAGAGTGATGGAGACTGTGTTTGGTAAAAATCTCTATTATTTTCAGCAAAAATCATCTTCTCTACCTCGTTTGACTCTGTATTAATTTTTTGTTTTTGTATGGTGTTTAAAGGGAAGAGTGATGCAGAACAAGAAGAGAGATTGAAGGTGAGACTGAAGGCTGTGCTCTTTTGAACATGTCCAGGATGAGCTTCAAACGCTCTTCTTGTTCTGCCTCGCTCTTCCCTTTAAGAGCATAGTCAAACGTAGAGATGATTTTGCTGAAAATAATAGTTAATATTTAGAATGTTATTACCAAAATAAGCACCAGTCCTTCTCTCAGGATCAGAGACCTTCCTCTCAGCATATAATAAGCACCAAACACACACACACCAAAAATTACAAACACAAACTGCACAAAAAGTGTACTACTGACTTACCCTTTGATAAACTCGAGAGCTTGGTGATTGACATAACCAGCTTCCACAAAGCCAGGGTGTCGATAATGTTAATAGTGAAGCCTCCCATTGTTCTTGAAACCATCATTGTTTGTAATGTTGTTAATCAGCAATCTGCAGGTGTTTCATCTCCTAAATCAATCATGATAATATAAAGGCAAGAAGAGAACCACTGAAGCTGGTTTGTAATGTTGCAAGTCACCAACTGCACCAGTAGTCACCTCTGGCTCACCAAAGATGACTTCTTCCGCAGCTCTACCACCGAGTCCACCAACAATTCCTGCAATCATAAGACTTGCAATGCATAAATGCGCAAAGCTAAGAAAAACCATAAGTTGTAAGTATGTATGTACAGGAGATCATAAACAAGAAGTTACTTTATAAGATGTGCTCATAAGTTGAAAGCAAGTATAACAAGATCACGCAAAAGCGTTTGTATCTCTAAGAGAAACGAGATGTCTAAACAAGAAAGTCATGCCTTCTTATAAGATGTGCTCATAAGTTGTAAGTATGTATGTACAGGAGATCATAAACAAGAAGTTACTTTTTGCCAAAGATAGATTCAGATAAACACCAAATGAGATATTTAGATGATCTGTAAGCAGGTACCTTAAACGAGATGTGCTNGGAGATCATAAACAAGAAGTTACTTTTTGCCAAAGATAGATTCAGATAAACACCAAATGAGATATTTAGATGATCTGTAAGCAGGTACCTTAAACGAGATGTGCTACTGAGACACTGGATTTGGTCACTAGAATTGAACCTTTTGGGCCCATTTTTACAATCACCCACTTTGATCCCTTCCCATTCCTAAGAATTTCTTAAGACGGTGGTCCATTGTGGCATGAAACCATTGGTTGATGAGCTCCAGTTGTCTGACCACAGATATTGGGAATTGACGTGCTTGATCAGGCTCCACCCATAGTGAAAGAAATACTTAATTATTTGTCGTTGGGATCATCAAGCACACGAATTTACTCTAAAACGTTATCCAAAGATATCAGGGAGATACCAAGTTGGATAGGAAGGTTGACAAGAATAACTATGCTATTTTTAACTATGAAGCACTTTTATCCCGAAATCAAAAAAAATGGGTGTTTAGAATTATTTTTTTCATTTCTATTTTTCTGATTAAGAAAAATAAAAAGTTAAAAGTGATCAATCGCGGATTGCTATATGTCCGTGGAACCTGTAAAATAGTGCAAATGCTTAAAAAATATGGCGCTTAATTTGGACTCTGGAGCTCCGATACTTGTTGTTTTTGTGGGATAAATGTGATAAACAATCCCCTAAGCACCAGGGATAAAGGTGGTCTAAGAGATGGCTGTTACGAACATTTGAATAATGGCTATTCGAGATAAATTTTCAATAGAAACTCCATTATAAATATATATATGAGAAATACCGTATATGATTGATTATATATTACTTCCAGTGTTTAAATTTGCGTACCAAAGAAAAAAAATCCACCGCAACAATTTATTTGTTTGTTGTTTGCCTCGCAAATCTTCAACTTTCCGAGAACGTGACATGTACATTGAGAACGTGACATGTACATTAACGGTCCACCACTTGTTCAATATCCTCTTAGGAGTTAGGGCAGCTATTTCCTTACATATTTTTGTGCCAAAGCATTACTTGAAATGTCCAAAAGATAAGATATTGTATGGAGATTTCGAGGACCATATTTTCCAACCTAGATATACATGTAAAAGAGAATCCACTTGGAAAACAACTTAAGAAAGTGTCATTGCAACATGTACTTAATTAAGACCGTACCAAACTTTCAAACGTTCGGAATTTCTTAAGATTATGCTAATAGCTAAAGTATTTATCAGCTACATAGGGGTATATACACTAGAGATATCATGTGTTACGTAACAATAAACACTCATGCACGCACAGTATGGTAATATACACAAAGTGTCCTAACAACTAATATGACATATCTTCACTGGTCAGATGAAGCGGCATAACGGAATCAACATCACACTGATATCGTCCAAGGAGCCCCGTGAGACAGAGAGGTCAACGAGCTTCTTACACGCTAACAATGGTTTCTGCTTCTGATCATCGGTTCCCATGCAGAACGGTCGAGCTATATCTACTGCCTCCTGGTTACCAACTTTATCCCACAGACCGTCTGACGCTAAGATCAAGAACTCGTGTTGGGGATTGATACGTAAAATCTTTGTCTCTGGTTCAGATATCACCCATTGTTTGAGATGAGCATCTCCGATTCCTCTAGATACCGCTAAAGATCCTTGGATTCTACAAACATTCTTAAATGTATCGACATAGCCGCCCTGCAAGATTATTAAATTCAGAACCATGCAATAAAGATAAGTTCACTCGAATTAGAAACTGAACTAAATCGAGGATTTGCTGATGATTATTAAACTTAGGTTGCTATTTTTCTAAAATCCTAAAAGCCAAAAAATCTTAACATCGAATTATCTTGAAAATCAACCATACAAAAAAACGATATAAGAATATCAAATGTTTATAAAAAGGTATGAATTAATTACCGATCTTTCAATTCTGTTCCGTTCATCCTCTCTAGAAGGGCGGTGGTCTGAAGTTAGTGCCTCCGCGAATCCTCCAACGCTCAAAACAGCACGGCAATCACCAGCATTGGACACCACAAGATTCCCGTCTCTAATCAGAGCCGTGACACAGCAAGATCCTCCCTTAACATCTTTCTCCTTGAGAAACTCAGAGTCAGTCGCTAGATAACCGCGTTTCACAGCTTCTTCAATATTTGACTCGTTCCTCTCACTAACTAACTCTCCTAGAATTTTATTACACAAGTTCTTAGCGGCAAACTCAGCCGCTCTTGATCCTCCGTGACCATCATAGACTCCAAATATTGCCTGCGAGTCGTATAACAACATTTGAGATTCAAGAACTACTTGTACTATATGATCTTCACGTATGCTTCATTAGTCTTTATCAAAATTAAAATCCAAAACTATTTGATTCCCACGCAATAGTGAAATTGTATAATACATATTCGAATCACATTTCCTACTAATTATTACAATTCAAAAGAAAACTGAAGTTACCTGTTTAGGATCTTTTTCAAGATTAGTGATGGCAGAAAACCTATCCTCCATAGCTTCTCTCTTTCCTCTCTTGCAGTAAACTGAAAACTCATCACCTTCCCTCTCAACCTCTCCACTCTCTCCCCTCGACGTCTCTGCATTCACCGAGATAGGTACCGCAACACCCACAGGAGCCACCGGTATATCAAGCCTCGTCGGTCGCTTCCTCTTCAAAACGCCTCCCGGCGAAATGTGGCGATCACAATCTCCCGAGTCTGAACCAAAAACTGACTTAACCGTCGGTTTAAGTAAACGGAGGCAGAACGGCGAAGTGGGAGACGCAGCAAAAGGAGATGAAACCGGAGAATGGAGATGGGAATGAGACAGAGTTAGGTTATGATGCGACGCCGTCTTGTTGTTGCAGAAAAGAGAAGAGGACGGGGAGAAAACAGGCGAGTTGCAGACGGCACAAGACATTGTTTCCTATAAAACCTTTTGTTGATGATTTTTCTTTTTGTATATTTGTTTCGTTGCGTTCTCTCAATGGTTTGAATGTGTGTGTTGTCAACGAAGGAGAAAAGAAGCTATAAATAGAAGGTAAAGTCTCGTGTATTTCTCCGTGGCCTATCGGTGATGACGTTTTCTTCTTCAAAGTCAAACGTTACCACAACCAATATCTTCCTCTTTGACTTTTCAATTCACGTTCCACCGTCCACCGCCATAGTCCACTTGTTCCGCCTTTCTATAAAAGTGTTGGTCAACTCCAGTTTATTGTTACTCTTCCAGAAAAAATAATTTTGGATAACAAAAAGTCAAAGAAGCAAATTGTGGCTTATGTAACTATTGCAAAAACTCTTACCTAAACTGTCTTCTCAGATTTTAAATAATTTGGATATGCGTCGCTTTTGGAATGCATATTTCATATAATTAAAAAAATATATTTCATATAATTTGAAAAACAAATTAGTAAAAAAAATTGAGAAAGGATATTTTTTTTAATTCATATTCTCTTTGTTTCTTAAATAATATCATTTTGACATATTTCACTGAGATTAAAACAATTGTATAGTAAACTAATATATCCTTATTTAATGTCTGATTAATTAAATAAAAATTATTTAAATAAAACTATATTGATTATTCAAAAAGATAAAAATTAGATTTAATGTATAAAGTAACACTAGAAATATAGAAACAAACTTTTTCAAAACAAAAAAAAATCTAAAATGACATTTTTTTTGAAACATAGAGAGTTTTTTTTTTCTCATACTTGACCTTCATGGTTTAGATTTTAGGAGGATAATTAAGGAATGTGATGAAACACATGTTTTATATTGTGAGAAAAAGTCAAAACAGAAGAAAAGCAAGCCCATCTGAAAGATAGATAAAGCCTTTAGAAATGAAGGCTCTATAGTCATATAGCCCATAAAGTCATAACACTTCCTCACGCCATGGAATCAGTAATGTTTCCAACTTTTATTTGTTGGTTTGATCATGTGTATAATGAAGAAGTGGTGTTCATAGTGTTGTATATTGGTGGAGATGTAAGAGATTTGTTTTGTTTGATATTAGGAGAAAGGATCAGATGAAGTTGTTTTCAAGGCAATGGGAGCTATTACTGTCAACATTGTTGAACTGATTAAGGTATGATACTGGTCGTGCCTGTTTTAGATCACAAGAAAAGGGTTATGTTGTGTCTGACAATGCAACTGAGTCTTTTATGATTCCTGGTCTTCACCAAATCGCATCTATTGGTTCCACTGACATCACAGATACCTGGGAACCTCTAGAGAAAAGCCTTCTTCCGTAAGTGGATTGCCATTTTTGTTACTTTGTCCTTGTCCTTGGACTCATATTACACCTGTTATTGATTTTCTTGTTCTTTTCTCATTGAAGAATTGAGACAACAAGGCATGTGTCGTTGATTACTATTACACTTTCAAAGAAGGAGCTCAACACATCCTCCGTTGGGTGAGTTTTGTAGTGCTTGTTGTTCTGGTCCAATTTATTTTGTTCCCTGTTATAACTAAGGCTCTGTCACCCAAGCTCTAGTCTCTCTATAACAATGCTAATAATGTCTTATTAACGGATGTTATATGTACCAGTGTCCGATCCCAATTGAGATGGTGAGGCCATTAGCTGAGATTGATCACGAAGGACCACCGTCTTCACTTCTATAATAAGCGTTTTCAACGCCTTACCTTGTTGTCTTTTATATGTATATAATAATAACATATCTACCTGTTGTAGAGGGATCACCAAGATATTGCTGTAGAATATTTTCTCTTTGATTTTGTCGTTAGGTTATGTTATATGTTCATTTATTTTATGAATGTTGCCTTTGTGATATCTCAGGTTTGTTTTGTTCCTTCTATAACATTTCCAAGTTCCAAATTATTCTCAATTATTGTACTAATCTTTTTTAAAAAAGAATTATGTTTTAAATGTTATCTTTTAATATGTTTTATTTAATAAATAATTTTATCTTTAAAAACTTAATTTTTTTAAGAACCTCTAATTAAGAAACTCCCATTGGACCGTTCAAAATGGCAATTTCTTAATTAGAATTCTTAACCCCACTTAAATACATTTAAAATATTAAATAATCATTAAGAAACTCACTTAAAAGTCATGGGATAATCATGCTCTAAGAATACAAAAATGGTATAAAAGTGCTTTCCAGCGAAAAATGTTTTATAGATAACTGCGTACTTTGGCCAAGACCCATTTATAGAAAATTTCCCGATTTAATTTGAATCACGAAACCATATGGAAAAATCCTAGAAAGAAGGTAGCTAGGATAGGTATCTTCTTATTTGGAAAACTTGCATTTTTTCATCGCCTTGCATCGCAAGCAAATCTCATATCCCTAGTATATTATATTAATGTAAGTTTATTTTATCTTAAAAACCAGCCACCATTAAAGCAAATATGGGGAACTCTGAGTCCACTTGTTCTCCACATGAAGATGGTTGCAAATTAAGAAGCCAAGACTAAGCTGAAGCAGGCTCACTGGGTTCCCGAAGCTAAGGAAATCGCTACCAGAGTGATGACGGAGGGTTACAATGCCGTCTTCCCCCATAAAGGTCAGTTGAGGGACTACATGGAAGGAGACCCTTGCAAAGAATCATATATATCATATATGACATGGATAAAGTCCATTGATAGGGACTCTGATGATAAGCATATGATAATGATGAAGTGTCTAGAGACCCACTCTGACTACTATCATAAGTATAAGAGACATTTTAAGTTCTGTTTTTTTTTGTATGTTTGTTGGAACTTTGTGTGTACTTGAGTAGTTTGGTCTGAGTTTTGAGATGTAGTGTTTAATTTTGTAGGTGAAATTGAGTGTGGAAGTTCCAGCAGTTGTCTGTGAAGATTGTTACCATAGAGTTCTAACCGAGTTCATGAAAATGGCAAAGGTAAAAATGTCTGAATCAAGACAATGTAAGAAACTATAAGGGAGATGTGGTTAAAAGAGAAAGAGTAAACGAGGAACGGGTGTGTTTGTTTGCTTATGTAAGAAGTGAGGGAACGCATTTGTGATTACAAATTAAAAACAAACAAATTGTAAGGTCCATGTAATTTGATTCACAACTCTATATGCAATTTTAGGACAAAGTTTTTCCCATGTAATTTGATTCACGTCTCATTGATTAAATTCTTTATTTAGATTCAAATCATAATCATTGTTTAATTGTTATATTTTGGACAAATGAACCCGCGTCTCTTGCTTAGTGTCGGTGAACACCTTCACGCAGGTCGTCGACAATCAAATCAATTATTTTGAAACGCTTTTGTTCATGACACTAAGCTTCCTTTGGTCATGTTGCGCTTAATCACGCGGTTCTCTCACACTCTCTCTCCTAAGAAGAAGAAAAATAAAGAAGGCATCAACATCATCATCACCTTTGGCAAGTAAGATATTAGAGGCAAAGCTCTTTTGTTAATGAGTACATGAGAGAGTGAGGGTGAATACAAGCAGCAGCTGATCTGTTGTCTTTGGTTAGAGGTTTGGTCTCTCTTAGATAAGCTCTAGTGATCTCCACTCCTAGATTGGGGTCAAAAGTCTCGTATTTCATGGGAACAACCACCTCTTCCATATGTTTAAACTTTAACAACATGGTTGATGGCAGCGGCTTTCAAAATGATGTCTGAAAGAATGCTGGCGAGCTCGAGGATGTCAAGGACGTTCCTTGAGGTCAGAGATGCAATGAAATGGTCGCGGCATACGTCTTGGAGATAGGGAATGTCGTATTTGTCGACAGCGAGATAGAGGGCTCGGTATTGATTGTAAGGAGCAATTAGGTTTATTGAAATTTTTATTTGATGGTTTTTCTAACTTAAACCTAGATTACTACTAACACTTTTAGAACATCTTTTTATAACCACAACTTAAATTTTAAAATCAGTTTGTTTTCCAATTATACATACATCTATAAAAAAAATATTCTCTTGAACATAGATCACTATTTATAGTTTTCAAAATTAATTTTATTTTCTATTATATTATTTATTCTTAAACAAAAAAAAATAAACTTTGAGATAATAATATAAAAGTTATATTAAAAAGTGTAACTGCTGACTACTAAGTGTTCGTTGAAATTCCTCTGAGAACTTGAATTGACATGTCTTTATCAGTTACTTACTCTATGTTCATCTGTTTTTATTTTTTACCATCAGGTCGAGATCTTAGGAGAGGACCAAGAGCCTTACTTCAGAAGCTATGGCCAAGCATCATCCTGATTTGATCATGTGCCGGAAACAACCTGGCATTGCTATTGGCCGATTGTGCGAGAAATGTGATGGCAAATGCGTGGTCTGCGACTCCTACGTGCGCCCCTGTACTCTGGTTCGGATTTGCGATGAATGCAATTATGGTTCATTCCAAGGACGGTGTGTCATATGCGGAGGGGTTGGAATCTCAGATGCTTACTACTGCAAAGAGTGTACACAACAGGAGAAAGATAGAGATGGTTGTCCCAAGATTGTCAATCTCGGGAGTGCTAAAACCGATCTGTTCTATGAGCGGAAAAATATGGATTCAAGAAACGATGATTGTTTGATTACTCAGGCTATTCGTTTATTATCTTATGCAACTGTCTGTGTTTAGAAAAGAAATACACATGTATTTGTTACTCTAGTGTCTTTTTAAGTGGTTGTGAAAAACGAGAATGTTCCTATGAGACACTACAACATCTTCTTGTCTGAAATAATTTGATTATTTGACCGAACATGTATATATTTAGAGCCATTCTTCTGTCGTTTGATATGATTTGGTTGGAGGTAGATGCCTCGGAAGTTTTATGGAGAAGTAAAGTACCTCTGCATTTAAGACATAGAATGCTCTCACACACAATTCAGCGAACATTTAGCAGACAGTGTTGAAGTATAATCAACTCTCTTGTTAATGATATAAATCAAAAAACTAGAAACAGAAAAGAAGCAGAATTGCCGGTGCATCTTCTTGGGCCGCCTTTGCTTAGGATGGTGGTTTATAAGTATAATTACTATCTTGTGTATGGGATTTGCTAGATAACTCATGTGCACCCGCATGCTTGTGTATAATATCATCCCATGATAGGATTCCCATCCATCATCACTGCTTTTTGCTAAAGATCATATCCATCATCACGAACGTATCAATGAAGGCTAACCACTGTTAACGTATTACATGGTAGGAATAAATCTAAATTTTCCATACATTTCAGATATTAGTAGTCCGAGTTATATGGTTGAGAATTTCCCATTTTATATAAAAGAAAAGGTCAAATGATAGAAGCAGATAGATAAACATCTTCATCCCGAAATTTAAAATTACGTCTTTTTCTTGAATATACATATAATATATGATGCTTAGCTGTACGATAACTATTGTTAATGTAAACAGTAAGCTTAAAGCTTAAAAAGACTACGCAATACCTCTGAGGCTCTGACGTCGACCAAAAAGGATATCATCAACCATTACTTCTAAAACCCCACATGGTCGTCAGAACGTTTCCTTTTTTAAAAGTGAGGAAACCCCAAAATCCTATTTTGGCCAAAAAATGACGTTGACATTTTCATTGAAACGGACGGTGCGTGTAAGTCAACTCCCATGCAACACATGTTCGCTTCGCTTTTGTGTTAACTGTTAACTTAACAGTGTGGAATCCACAATTTGTCTTAAATAGTCAACTCATACATCCACTAAAACGATGCCATGTGGTAAGCATCAGCTACTGTTTGGACATCAGAAACAGGTTATGTGTTTCGCTCTTTTACTACTCAGTATTTGATAGCCACATTAATTCATTAATATTTTGTATTTAATCGAGTTTGATCTTCTCAAGTGATAAAGTCAAAAAGGAAAATTAGATCCAGTATGGAGCCATTAAGATATATGCTTCATTTTCGTATTTTGGTATAAAATTACGCTGTGTATTAATCAATGGATAAGCGTTCATTCAATCAAAAACACATATGCGACACAAGTTGTAGTACAAGTAGATAGATTGGTATCAAAATATTCCAACGACAGGCCTCTATACGTACCAACCTTTTATCAAAATGTTCTCAAGTTTGTTGTGCCCTAAACATAAGAGCTTTTTTAGCAAAAAAAAAACATCAGAGCCCTAATACCTTGTAAAGTTGACATTTCAAAATGAGATTGTAGAGTCTTCTACGTACATAGATTATAATATTCCGGGTGTGTAGCACTGTCCTGGTAATAATAGTTTATTTTAATTAGTAGTGTGAAAACTAATGAAACATTTTGCGTTTATAAAAGGAGAGGGTGACGAGAGGTATAGTTGAATAGAGAAAGAGAGAGAAAAACAGAAGAAGGAAAATTTAGAAAGGATGGGTTATAGTTCTGCGCTCCGGTTATGTTTATGCATCTTCTTTGCACTTTCGATTGTCTCTTCGGCTCGACTCAGTTTATCATTTCCAGGTAACTAGAATAATCTAGCTCTTCATAGATCCTATCCACGTACAATAAAGAGGAAGAATATAGAGTTGTACATTTTTCATATCCATAATAGGATTGCCTAGTCTCCTGATCGGATATAATATTATCAAGCATAATTTTAATAAACATGGTTTAGATGATTAGATCTATCTCGTATATAGTCAAATAGGTGATAATACATGCGTGTCTAAGGAGATAGTCTTTCGTAATATATTATTCAAGCGTGGTTTTAACTTCCGTGATTATTTAATTTCTGGAGTACTGGTGATAAGTTCTGGATTCTAAATATATATTTTTAACTGCATGCATCAGAAAATGAAAAGATGGTGATGAGAGGTAGATCATTGATGGTGTACACCAATGACTACGACGAGCCATCGGCGAACGGTAGACACAACCCACCTGGTGGGAGGCACGGAGGAGGTAGGAGAGGGGGAAGATAAACATACCAAAATTTTCTTATCACTAAGAAAAATAACAAGATTATGTTTTGGTTATATATATTTATATTTCAAGTTTAGTCTTCTTCTCTGAGCACTGCATCTCTTTATATACTGAGAAATAAAACCCCAGGGGTAAAAATATGTACTTATAAATTACTAAACATATATGAACACTTTTGTTTGAAGTTTTTCTGGCTGTTGTATCCTGTTAGTTTAATTAGCAGGACTTTTTTGTTTGAAATTTCATCAATATAGATGTCTTTGCGAGAAAGTCATTATTTAATTTACATTTGATTTTAAATTTATCTAAATTGGATTAAGTAAAGTGACATTTTGAGAATATGTTTATAAGTATTCATATACAATTATATTGCCGTGACTTAAGATTAACAAGAAAAAGTTTGGCCTTTCAAAAATCCTAAATAATTAAATGATTTAATATCAATGGCCTATTGGGCCATAAAATTGTCAACAGTGGTGGGCTTTTCCCTCTGGGCTCTGAATCCGTCACCCCTTACGATGCGGCCGATCACAGTCAAGGAATATTCTAATGTCCCTTTCTTGCGCACCACAACAGTCTGAGTGAATCACATGTTTCATCTGTTGTCTTTTCTTTCGCTCCAAGTTCTTTTGAATGCTGACGTTTCTTTTCTTTTTATATATACAATTTTCCAACACCATTAACCTATTTATAATTATCTTTACCCAACAAGGCATCATGTATGATCATAACAATTTCGTTCATATATCGAAGCTGCAGCAGCCGTAGAAGAATGTTAAACACATAGTAATTCTCTTCGATATCTTCACATAAAAAACGTTTTAAATATTCTGTGATTACCAAATACGACAAGTTTCCATTTATTTTGGAGAGAAATAAGGAAATGCCACCTGTCGTTTCCATATCTGTCACATAGGTTTCAGCTCATAACGCTTACAAGTGCTACAGTCCCAACGGCGGCTGGTAGAAGAAGAGTTGTTCGATTCTCCAACAACTTAGAGCTTGTTTATTGCTTTAAACAACCTTTCTTGCATCACTCGAAAACATAAAAGAATCATGCTTTGGATCAAAAACCTCGCAAGGATCTCTCCGACAAGTTCCTATGTCGGAAACTTGTTCAGAAACTCCGAGTCCTACACTCTCTCCTCTCGCTTCTGCACGGCTCTTCAATATAACGAGACGGTTCAAGCGACGGATGTAGCTAATGGGTTGGAGCATCAGCAACAACAAGAACAACATCGTTACCACGGTTTGGCTCCGACAAAAGAAGGAGAGAAGCCGAGAATACTAGTTCTCGGGTCGGGTTGGGCGGGTTGTCGTCTTATGAAAGGGATCGACACGAGTATTTACGACGTCGTTTGCGTATCTCCGAGGAACCACATGGTCTTCACTCCTCTCTTGGCTTCTACTTGCGTCGGTACGCTTGAGTTCCGGTCCGTTGCAGAACCGATCTCTCGTATTCAACCGGCGATTTCGCGAGAACCCGGTTCTTATTACTTCCTCGCTAATTGCTCAAAACTTGATTCCGAAAATCACGAGGTAATTGTTAAACCGGAATAAACCGTTTTGTGTTTATCGCTGATTGCTCTGAAATTTGGGAAACATTTTTTTAGATGAATTTCTGTGTTAATGTATAAACTTAGATTTGCGTGTTGTGAAAGCAATGTATGTGGTTTTGATGTTACTGTGTTAATCGGTTTTTGTGTTAGCGTGTAAACCGGTATTTGTGCTCTATTAAAGTGTGGAGTCGTTAATTGCTAAACCGGTTTTTGAGTTTATCGCTAATTGTTCTGAAATTTGGGAATAAGTTTTGTAGATGAATCTCTGTGTTAATGTGTAAACTTAGATTTGCGTGTTGTGAAAGCAATGTATGTGGTTTTGATGTTAATTTCTAAACCGGTTTTTGTGTTAATGTGTTAACCGGTTTTGTACAGGTGCATTGTGAGACTGTAACTGATGGGTTAAGCACGTTGAAACCATGGAAGTTCAAGATAGCTTATGACAAACTAGTACTAGCTTGCGGTGCAGAAGCATCAACCTTTGGGATTAATGGCGTGTCAGAAAACGCCATCTTTCTCCGTGAGGTTCATCACGCTCAGGAGATACGAAGGAAGCTTCTTCTCAACCTCATGCTCTCTGAAGTTCCAGGGATAGGTGAAGAGGAGAAGAAGAGGCTGTTGCATTGCGTTGTGGTTGGAGGTGGTCCCACCGGTGTAGAGTTTAGCGGTGAACTAAGTGATTTCATCATGAAAGATGTTCGTGAGAGATATGCTCATGTCAAAGACGACATTCGTGTTACTTTGATTGAGGCAAGGGATATATTGTCTTCGTTCGACGATGGGCTAAGACAGTATGCTATCAAGCAGTTAAACAAGGTTAACTATTATTACATTTTTAACTTTGTTTTTTTGTTTTTGGGGAGAGAATGTGAGTTGTTGAAAATCTGTTTTTTTTTTTTTTTTACTTTAGTCTGGAGTGAAGCTTGTGCGTGGGATTGTGAAAGAAGTGAAACCTCAGAAGCTTGTTCTTGATGATGGAACCGATGTTCCTTACGGTCTTTTAGTCTGGTCAACTGGTGTTGGTCCATCTTCATTTGTTAGGTCTCTTCATCTTCCTAAAGATCCAGGTGGAAGGATTGGAATCGATGAGTGGATGCGTGTGCCTTCAGTACAAGACGTGTTTGCGATTGGTGACTGTAGTGGATATCTTGAGAGCACAGGGAAGCCAACACTTCCTGCTCTTGCACAGGTCTGATTAATGTTTCTGTAATAAAATTCCATTTTTTTAATTTAAAACTGTCTCTTAGTTTAACCAAGTCTATGATCAATGAAGGTGGCTGAGAGAGAAGGCAAATACTTGGCGAATTTACTAAACGTGATGGGAAAAGCTGGAGCAGGAAGAGCCAGGAGTGCAAAGGAAACTGAACTTGGAGAACCATTTGTGTACAAGCATTTGGGAAGTATGGCTACTATTGGGAGATACAAAGCTCTCGTTGATCTTCGTGAGAGTAAGGTAACATAAAAAAGATCATTCACTTTCACTTAAAAGCCCTAAAACACATAGATAACTAACTTTTCTTGTGCAGGAAGGAAAAGGGATATCAATGGCAGGGTTTGTGAGCTGGTTCATATGGAGGTCTGCTTATCTGACTCGAGTTGTCAGCTGGAGAAACCGCTTCTACGTTGCTATTAACTGGCTCACCACTTTCATTTTCGGCCGTGACATTAGCCGTATCTAATCATAATTTACATTCTCTAAGATTTGAACCCAAAAACTTTTGATGTTAATGCAAAATATTATGGAGGAGAGAGATTATTATTTCTAATAAAAACTCAAAATGCCAAAAGAAAAGTTTTGTGGCAAATTGGTAACCCCTACATAGACACTTTATACCTCAGCTACTAGTAGTTGACTCTCTATTATACATTTTTTGTTTAATTTACAAGCACAGAACTCAAAACCAAGGCCTCTCAGATGACAAAACAATCAGGAATTGTAACTATCTAATTACCTCACGTTACATACACCTTCTCTGGCAACTCTACTCCGACAGCTAAATCTCTAGAAGCAACCAGTTTCACTGTATGATTTGAACCGTACTTTTGCCTCGCTTCAGCAAAGCTTGGAGCAAGAACGGTTTGAATCCATTGATCAACAACGTTCCTCTCTTCTTCCCCTGATGATAGTGATAACCAAGAAGCTGACAGTATCTGAAGGATCACTTCGTTATCAATCTCTAATTGTGTTTCCGTTCCAAAGCATATCTTAAAATGTGAAACAATCTTCTCTTGAATGTTTTTAGCTAACACATCGAAATCAACCGGTTTGAACGTCACTTTTCCATCTACTTGTTGGATAAAACCATCAAACCAAGCTTTTGCATCCTCTCTTTCGTGATCTAAGCTAACTCCTGTCTCATCCACTGGAAGATTCAGGTCCAGATATGAACGTTTCGCCTTGTCAGCACGCAGCTCTGTGTCTTCCTCATGTTTCCTCTTATTCACCCCAATTTTAGCAGTGTCAGCTAGCTTAATCTGCAGTTTCCAGCTTCTAGCGCTGAGAACTCTTTCCTCAGTAAACTTCACAGGTTCAACAGTTACATGATCTTTGTCCTTGGTGACACAAGAAGTTGCAAGAACAATTACGTTTTTCATACTAATCACTCTTCCATGCGAGTCACGAAGCTTCCCAGTACTCACAGCTTCAGACAATCTCATCTGATCCGGGAACTCAGCTTTTTCCATGTTTTCTAGTAACACAACAGAGTGTGGTTTCCTTGATACTTCACCTGTTATGTAATCAACCACTGTCTTGCCTCTGAACTTGTCATCAATATAACAGTGCTCAGCCCCAAAATCAACACTAACGCAATTAGCCTGGTCTCTAAATAAGAATTCGGAAAGAGCTAACGCTACTTTCTTCTTCCCAACGTTATCAGGTCCAAGAAGAGCCAGCCATGTTCCACTCGTGGAGTTGCTTTTGCATTGGTAGATGATTTGGCTAATGGCATTCACAGCTTCAGTCTGCCATGGGACTTTACGAGAGAGTAATTCTCTGAGAGACTTGAAATCACTCTGATGTTTATGTTCTGAAGAAGAGTTTAGAGTCACCAGCAGCGGTTTCTCTCTCGGTGTGTGTGTTTCTTGTCTTTTTGATGCATAGGTTACTCCCAAACCTAAATCTGTAGTAACACAGCTCAAAGGAGAACTCAAAGTAGGGTTAGGCACTGATGATGTCATGAGATCCTCCTTATGTTTTGGATTTGAGACTAGCGGATTCAGCATTTTAGAGCTTTCAGGACTATTTTTCTCCGCTAGGCTTCTCACACACTTCTCGGTCTGAACTGGGAACTGTGGACTCACGGTCTGAAAACCAAGCTTAGGAAACGCTGGAGTTTGATGGATACTTTGGCATATGTTGTCCCATTTCTTCTGCAGAGCTGTGGTTTGAGAAGCTAATGTGTTTGTGTCATCTACAGCCTGCACTGAATAAAAAGGCAAAATCTCTCTCAAGATAGTGCATTTACACCATTACAAGAGATTACAAAACAAGGAAAAGAAGTTGAATTAAAACGCACCTTAGTACTTTTCATTGGTCCCTTGTCTAACTCATTCTCAGCAGCCCTTAACCAAGAGGGTAACTTCTCAGAACATTGATCAGTAATAGAGGAGACACTTGAACCGGCCTTCACAACAGCAGCTACTTCTTGCAAACACTTCTCGTTGCAGAGGTGACATCTAGGGAGCGTCTGATTCACTGTGCCACCACTCAACGGTACTCTAAAATCTGATGTAGACGAAAAAAACCCTCCAAACGGAACAAAGGATCCCATCAAGCTGTATAACCAACAGATTCATACTAATTTTATTAGAAACATTTTAAGAAAATATAAAAGTCTACTTCCAGAGAAATGGGAAGTACAAAGCTGAGAATAAAATATTTCAGATTATGTTTTCAATACTGACATAAAATATAAACTATTCCCATCAATATATATTATGTTTTTATAAAATTAAACTTCTAAAAGCACACCTTGATTTTGGAAGTCTTGAAGATGTGATTGGAAGAACATGAAGGTCCCAATCCTCATCGATCTTAGGAAACCGATCCAAAAGCTTCGTGTAAGTCTCGTTGCTCGATGCACATCCAATGAACCACAGCTTCTTACTTTCACGTTTCACCAAATCCGTGAGCTTCAACACCAACTTCACCAAACCATCATCACCAGAACTGTTCAAAAACACCTTAAGCTCTCCCAAGTTAAGCATCACTCCCGATTTAGCATCATTTACCAACTCATCAAGCTTCACGAGCCTCTCCTCGTTACTTCTTGTTCCAACTTCACTAATCTCCTTCTCTATATTAATCACACTTAACTCCTTAATCTCCGGAGGAAGAAACCCTAACTTCTTATCAACCGCATCAGTAAAAGTTTTAAGAGCTTCTTCAGCGCAGTTTCCGACAAGGACAGGGTTCCTCCTCTCTTTCCGACACAACAAAACCTGTCCGATCCTCTTACAATTCTCGTCCAAACTCCCACCAAACGGGAACTCCCGGTTCGGATCTGCGCTCGGAAGATTACAAAGAAACAGAGGAGGACAACGAGATCTCGTCACCGGAGGGTGAAGCACGTCGAGCTTAATATCGGAGCTCCGAAACCCGGCGTCACAGAAGACCCGGTTCACAATCGGATCATCAAGAATCGACAGCACGAAGTACTTCAACTCCACTTTCAGAACCGTCGTCTGACTCTGACACCCTCCTCCGTGCATCTGGTGGAGGTGAAAACTCTCCGGGTGCCGTCTCTGGTTCGCCTGAGACCGTTTTATCGCCGCCATGAGGGAGTTCGACACCGGAGGATCTTCTTCTTGAGACTTTGACGACGGGAGTCTGTCGAGAGAGACTCCCACGCAGAGCTCAAGAGCTCTGAACTGGAGACGGGAGGAGTAAGGAGTGCTCCGTGCGGCGCGTGAGACGCAGACTTCGCGGAGAAGGGAGGAAGGTGAGGTGAGGAGAGCTGAGACGGCGTGGAGAGACGTCGTCTGCGCGTGGCTTCTCCGACGAGCGATGGTTACAGCTTCGTCGAGAGCACGAGCTGCTTCCTCTGTTAAGCATTCTCTCGCCGTGGTGACCGGCGTAGGCATCGCCGGAGGAGAAAAGAAACTAAAAGTTTAAAGTAGAAAGAAAATTCAAACCAATCAAACCAACCAACCAACAATAATCACAGACTCAAGAAGACAACAAAATTTTATTTATTAAAGAAAGTCAGGCGTGAATTTTCATGAAATGATATTTATGTCAAAAGGCTATGGTCTCTTTAGCTTAAAAGTGGTTATTAAAGAATAATTATATTTGGTTTGCTTTTAAGCCATCTTCAAATCCTCAAAATCTTACGCATGGATATGTTCAGATTACTAGTCTTCTTGTACAAAGAGTCACTGTGTTTGTTTGGTTGTATATTACTCGTGGGGTCCTCCAATATCTTGTCTGTCTTTTTTTTTGGAGTTTTTATTGAATATTATGTGGTGCTCGTATAATCTTTTTTTTTTTTTTTTTTGAAAAATCTTCTCTTCTACATGCCAAAAGGTTTCGATTAATTCCAGCAGAAATTCAAACCACAAATGTGATTTATAGTATTCTAACCGTAAAAATACATGCATATGGATTTTCTAGTTTTGTTTTACCATCGAGATTAGCTCCGGAATCTTCTGCTTCAGTTGTTAACATTGATGCTCATTGAGCTTTTATAATATAAGTTGTGTTACAAAAAAAAAAATAGGATTTTCATGGAAATCTATTGTTAATTTTTAATGGCCACAAAAAACATTATTAATTATTTGATTCTTTATTCCATCAAGAAATTTGCACTTCTTTTTCATCGAATCTTTATTTTGATATTTACCTTCCCCAACTATTCTTCTTCCAAATTTTAGTAAAAAAGAAATATTTTTCTTTAGTATCATATTCTCAGTTGTTATAAATTATAATATGCTTAATCTTCTTTTTTTTTTTTGTTTACACATGCCAGTTAACAAACAAACTATCGATCCACTCTATAATTTCCCTGATATTTTAAACCTGCATTAGTTAATAGTGACTAACTTTACTAAACATAGAGATAACGCTATATCAGTAAACGTTGTTATAAATATTAAAGCATGTACAGTAATTGGTTTATGATCCAAATAAAAATGAATGGGATTAAGAAAGAAAAGTCAAATTAATATACTGAAGGAAATAAAAAAGTATTGAGTGGTAGACAATCACTAGACTTTATAAAAGATTAGGTGAATGTCATAAGATAAAGAAGAAAAGCATAATTGATCAGGGTCCCAAACACCACCTTTTATATGCTTCTTTTGCGTCATTGTCTATCATCATCCACATCCAATAAAGATATTTGGCTTCACTTTACTTTGCACATCGTTTATTCCCGATCGCAAAGGCATCTTGTTAACTCTCGATCATCTTATCTTTTGTTACATCTACTACAAAGTAAAAAAAAGTCAATTTCGACGACATTAATATCAGCATTTTTAACGTCTTCATTTTATATATTCTTGTTGAAGCAAAGTAGTACTGAAAATAAAAATAACTATGTTAATAAACTTTTATTGTATTCTTCTTGAAACTACTTAATATTATTTCAGTATTTCTATAGAAATAATCAGTAAACTATTGTCTTCTCCTCTCTGCTTCTGTTCCTGTTGAAGCGACGTAGTACTGAAAATAAAAATAACTATGTTAATAAACTTTTATTGTATTCTTCTTGAAACTACTTAATATTATTTCACTATTTCTATAGAAATAATCAGTAAACTATTGTCTTCTCCTCTCTGCTTCTGTTGTTATTAGGATCCTTATGCCAATGCATATACATCAATACGTATAATATTTTCAGACCAATCAAAGGGAAACAAATATCGACCACCTGCATGAATATTGGCTACATCAGTTTAATATTTTAAAAACTTTAAACTAAGAGACATATTGGGCTCATGCCACAAAAGCGTCGACAAGCAAGCACTATACTGCGTTCCTTTATGTTCACTCTAGCTAGCTTTTAACACCAAACATATCTTGTACTCTTGTAGCATACAACCTTTTTTCACTTGTACATATTATTAGTATACGTCACTCCATAATAGATCTACCAATAAGTTGTATTTACTTATTAAACACATGGAATATGCATGATGAGATGAAAAATCAAGCACGATGACTTATATAAAACGGTGTCCTTTTCATTCTCCAGAAACATCTCTTTAGAAATTTGGTTCAATGGTTGTTGCGCAAAGTCCCAAAATAAAGTGACACGTATGCAATATGTAGTAGAACCTCAACGATCACATCCACAATAATTAAAAACTATAGCCCAAGTTAATTGCAAATGTTGTCGTACTAAATGAATGTTTCTCTTTATTTTAGCCGTCACTTTAGAGTTAACATAAACCAAATAAGCATCGATAATTAACGTTAACACGCATCCAACTATTCTCTGTCTCGAGCACACAGTAAGTCAGTACACTGTTTAAATGCCAAAAGTGAAGCTAACGACGTTTTGGGCGAGAACCAACGGTCGCTATTCGATCAGTGTGGTCCTTGTCTTTTTTTTTCCTATTAAGAGCGTGTCACTTTGTAAGTGGATGACCTTACTTAGTTAGCCATTAATATTGCCCCACGTGTAGAAATTAGATGTGAGTAAGAAGATTATTCTAAAGATAGGAAACCGTAAGAACCAACCAAGTGGACATAGGAGCTCTCAACACAACCAATCATCCCGACTCACCACTTCTCGTATTGGATGATGATACCAACCAAAAGGTATTTGATTTTGACTCCTTTTATTTCCCTTTGGATCAAAAGGAACGAAGTGATGTGAGACCCATTTTGTTTTCTGCTATTTTCTATTTTTTCTTACTACACACACATGTCACATAACTTTTTATAAAGAATCCGTTTGATATTGATTAGAAACGTTTAATAACTATATCATCGGTGAACGAAAAAAGAATAACTATGTCATCAGCTTCCCTTGTAATCCTTTTCCAATACATAAGCCTATCCGAATTATATGTGGTTGAGTAAAGTCCTGCTCTATTGACATTTAATCCCCATGGTTCACTGGCATCTATCGTCATTTAGATCACCACATACATGTCTGATGTGACACTTCTGTCATCTCATAGTTTTTTTTTGGTTAGATGCGTTTGTGCTTATCCTAATTTACTTTCTAAAGTTACAAAATGATTTAAATATTATTATTTTTACGGCAAACAAACAAAATTTTATTAGTTGTCAAAAAAAAACAAAAACAAAATTTTCTAAATAAATATTAGACTACAAAGTTAATATTCAAATTTCCCAAAAAAAATTATTACATAAGCAGATATATGCGTCATTTTTTTGAACCTAGATTAATCCTCTAATCATCCACTTGATAACTTTCAACTATATAAGTCTATGGAAAGAGAAAGATCTTTGCCATCTTAGCTGACAGCAACTACGTAACAAATGGGCCTGGCCTTATAAAGCCCATTAATTGAAATCTAATCTCCTTGTCTCTCTCTCTTCACACGTCATCCCTCAGGCGACTCTCCCCTCTTTTGCCAAAAACCTCACAGATCGGAGGAACCCAAAATCCCAAAAACCCTAAAATCAAAAGACGATGAAACCCGCCCGTTTCGCGATTCGATCCCTCAACGACGTCGCATCCCGTCAACAATGGCTTCCTCTCGTTCCCAGAAGCTTCTCCACCAATGCTAACGAAGGTAAAAACCATCCTACATTTCCACCAATTTCTTTTTTCCCCTCGCATTTTCCGTTAAATCTAACCACCGAATCGAATCGAAAACGGAGCAGATCGGTCTTCGTTGGACGATTGGGTGTTTGGAGGAAACAGTGGCAACGATGAGAAAAGCAGTAATTTCTATCAGCATCTTGGTAAGGCGGAGAAAGATAAGCGCGAGTCTACAGGCTTTGGTAGATCTTACGGAAACGGTTCGAGAGGAGGTTCTGTGAAGAGAGAGGAGACTTTTGATCCTTCGTCTGATGGAGTTGATGGTAAATTGAAGGAAGCTGCGTTGCACAACGTTGATGTTGATGTTGATGAAGACGAAGGTGTTAAAGATGGTTACTCGTTTAGGCCTGATGTTAACAGCTGGGGAGCTAATCACTTTCCTAGGGTTTGTTTTCTCTTACAACTCTTGTATGTGACTTTGTTAAGTGAATCAGTTTTTTTTAGATTGCAGTCATGTGAAGTTCATTGTAGGCGAGTTATAATGGTGTAGGATTGTATTTGAACTGTTGATTTGCAGTAAAGTGTGAGTCTTTATTACTTAAATGATTTGGTTTCGTGTGATTTGATTGTGTAGTCATGTGTGGTGTGTGTGTTTTGGGTTTAGAGGGATGATGAGATTTTCTTGTTTGCTTTGATTAGACAGACATTAAATGTGTTTTCTTTTGTTTAAACACAGGATTTAGGTTTTAGAAAGCAGATGCAAAGACCTAGACAGAATAACAAGGCGGAGATAACCACTGAGGAAGTTCTGAAGAAAGCTGATTTTAGGGTGAGTTTAGTTTCAGAGGCAGTGCAGTGTTTGGTTGGTCTGTGTTAAGTTTACATCTGCGAGCTTATGTTAGTCTTTTTGTATTTTTACCTTTGTTTTTTTTGGACAGAATGTTCGATTCCTTGCACAGTTCATCACCGAAGCTGGGATCCTCGTTAAGAGAAAGCAGGTTAAACTGGTTTCTCGCTTTTAGTCGTACTTTGTTTATATGATAATCCACATAATGATGGAATCTTCTTTTTATTTATCTCTTGCACAGACTGGCATCAGTGCCAAGGCACAAAGGAAGATAGCTAGAGAGATCAAGACGGCTCGTGCATTTGGGCTGATGCCCTTCACAACAATGGGTACAAAGGCATTCACATTTGGGAAAACCATGGAGAACAGAGACCAAGATTTCGAGTATGAAGTGGTTGACGACGATGATGAGTATGACAATGCAACAGAGTGAGAGATTGGATCCACTCTCTTCTGCCTTCTGAATCTTTGGCCTAGCTAGTGTGGGCAAGTTTTCATAGTTGTTGTTTTGATCAATCAAATATTTGAAATAATAGGATGTTACCAAAAGTGGAGAATACATGATTGACTGATGAGTTTCAATAGCTGTCACTTGGTTTCTTCCCATGTCAAAGGATTACTATTTGTATTTTATTTCCCTTATCGTGTTTGTTACTTTTGAAGATCAGAGCAAGACTATGGTTTCTTTATTCTATAAATCAAGTCTTAATCAAGTATCATCTCGTGCTACAGCTGATGGTGATGAACACAGGTATTGCCGAGGAGAAAAAAAAAGATTACACAAAACTTATGTTCCAGAAAAGTCAGCCTCTTGAACCCCTCTCTGTTTTTGTCATCTCCATGTTTCTAACATCTTCGATTGTTTTCTTCTTCCGTTGTATCAACCTCTCAAGCCTATCCCTATCTGCATCTGGAAGTTTACATGGTCGGTCCATAGAAGGTACAGCTCTTGATTTTTCGAGTAGGTCCCGCTCTTTTTGCTCTGCGAAGCAAAGCAATGATCCTGCACAGACCTCTTTAGCTGAAGACGGCTTCACCGGTTTGAACTTCTGAAGCTTTGAGTACTCTGTGATGAGATGGAACATGTAGTCATACACCCTGTTCATGCTTATGCTTTCCATGTAACCCTGTCCTCTTTTTCCTATTCTTTCAGCCTGTCAAAAAAGGAAAACGCCTTAGGAAATGAATCGATTAACTCGATGAGGAAGTGTAGAATACACATACATCAGAGGGGTTGGCATTGCCCCAGTCCACAGCGAATTTGATGGACGGACATAGATCAGTGGGAGAGACAGGCCAGTAGTTTTCCTTGGGAAGAAGGCCTCTGCTGAAGAAATCTTCATACTCTGGTGAGATTATGAGTGTCATGGAACCACATGAAATGATATACTTTAGAGATACTGACCACGCGTAACCCTCTGCGTATATTTTGTACCTTATGATACAAGGAATCATAACCACATTAGATCCTCCTCTTATCCTCAAGTCATATTTGGTAGAGCTTGGGTTTCTATAATGACTTACCGGTGATTGCATTGATTGGAGAGTTTAGACTGTTCAAACCCACCTTTTGCCTCTTCTGCCCAGTTCTGTATATAGAACACATCAGCATCAAACTATCTGACTATGATGACTGAAAAAGGCCTTTAAGTGAAGCAAACCTGGCGCATAATCTGTGCTCCCCATAACCTTGAATGATTGCATTTCATCAACTCCATTCTAATAGGCGACACAACATCAGGGTTCCCTTTCCAGTAAGCTCTAGGTTGCTTGTTCTCCCAGCTACTTCTCTTAGACCCTTTCTTTATATCCCTAAACTCTTCTTCCCACGGCCTTAGATTTGTCTCCGACCTTCCATCACAACACATAGATTTCAGACAAAGAATTTCAGTAACAACAACAACATAGAGGTAAAGAGATATGTACCAGCCCCAAAAAGACCAATCAGGAAAAGGAATATCCAAATGAGCTTCATTGGTACAATATCGAAAAAGCGGAGCTGGAAACGCCTGATTCTCTGTCCTATTGATGATAGGTTTATCCATGCAATCAAACATCATGTCGACATCAGGAACCATACCAGGATACTTATTGAGAAGCTGCAGAAACCCCCAAACGGTGAACATCATCCTACTCTGCACACACGCATAGTAAAGATCCACGTATAGCTTCCCCGATAGTATCACAACTCTAAACGCAGCGTTGCCTTTGGCCTTTTCCACGTGCTCTTTAGTCACTCCTGTCTTTACCCATGGCTCTAAGTCCCGGTGAATCCACCTGGCTTCACACCAAAATCATCAATGGTTTGGTTTACTCCTAATAAATAAAGTTTGAATCTTTTAGACAAACCTGAACACGTCTGGGCATTGTTGTTGTTGGGTTCGATGACCTGATTTTGAATCCGATGGGAGAGTCTTTGGTTCGGAGTTGTACGGACAAGAGAAGTAGGAGCATTGGAGGATTCGGTAAGTGGTGGCTTCACTGAAAGATTTGCGTGGGAAGATGTGCCACGGTGTTGGTTCCAAGTTATGTCCCGCGAGAGTTTTTGTCTGAGATACAAAGTCGTCAACCTGTTCGACGAAATTACTTTAGTGAGAGACAAAAAAATTCTCAAGATCACAGGAAAGTAAAGTAGCACGTGCTTTTTTTTAAAAAAGATTTCAGAGCTATTACATGTTAATTCTAGCTCAAAATCCAGATCTATCGATTGAAAACGGTTAGAGAAAAAAAGTAAAAACATAGTTTAGTTTCGAGTATCTAATTTAGAGTTATGTGTCAGCTTCAGATAAATATTCCTCATGACAGGAAACTGCAACATTTAATTATTCTGTCAGATCTACTACATATGTAATATGATATGATTTATTGCTGAGTGGGGAGAATAAATAGAGATGTCAGATGGTGAAAAAGGGAAAAAAGACAGACCTTGTAGAGAAGAAGAGCGGTGAAGGAGAAGAAGCAGAGAGCAAGAACGCATAGAAGGAGATGTGAAGGTGCCTTTGGAGAGCTTTTGTGAGGGAGACGTAGACGTAGACGAATACCCATTCTGTTTTCTCTTCCTTTTCCTTCTCTGTAAAACTTTTCGTTTTCTGCTTTTTCTTTTCGGTGGCCTTACAAATTCTCTTTCGATATACAGTGCTCCGCTCGTTGCGGAGATTTAACTTTTTCCTCAGTTTGTTTCTATTTTAATTGCCATTTTAATTCTAACTAATACAATATTATTTGATGAAGCGTGTTAAAAAAAATATTATTTGATGAAGTATTACTGACTAAATTAACCTATGTTATAGTGCTTACTCATTCGTAAATGGTGTTGTTTTCTGTTTTTTTTTGTTTTGTTTTTGTTATTTATAAATGCGTTTACTTTCGAATGAATTTGACAAAACAAGGAAAGCTACATTCTCTACATGTAACATGGTGTCAGGATTACAAATCACTAGACCAGTACCATTTCTTGGTCTAAAGCACAAGAAAGTCATGTACTACTACTACTTGCATGGCTTGTCTTTGATCCAGCTGATCTGTTTTCATGTTTGTGTTACAGTCCATTTCACTAAATTTTGCTCTTCCTTCTTTTTTGGTTGGTCTCTTTCCCTAGCATATTGCCATTCTTCTTATTATATGTTCAGCGGATACCTAAAGAATTTAAGATAAGCCAGTTATTAAGACGTTTACGTCAACTAAAACTGTTTTTTTAATCTAATCTTGGATTAGTATATGTATTAGTATTATACAAGAACTCTCCATCTTATTCCTACTAAGGAGATGGAGGTCAGGAGCAACATAACGTTACCAAGTCCTTTGATCCATTAGGACCATCACATTACATACGAAGTATATACTTTTCCACATCATAATGCATCTAAAGTAAGTGGGAACAGAGAGGTGGTGGCCACATGTATTTACATATCATTCATTACTTTATTTATTGATTTTTCAATAGCTTCCAATATGCTTGTTGGTACCATCACTGGGACTGGTCCTGGTAGTCAGAGACGGCCTCATAGTGACTATAGTGTTTTCGTCTGCTCCTGCTTCCAGTGCAGCCTTCCCAGCCTCTAAAAACTTCTGAACAGCATCCTCTGCGTATTTGTTTCCTTCTTTTACTGTCATGTTTTTCCCAATGTCTGGATAAGAGTTTAGGAGATGATCTCCAACGAGTTGAGAAGCGAGCTGGATCAGCTCAACCTGAAATTCTGAAAGCTTTGAGTCTTCTTTTGCTCCCCATGGCCTTAGTGATCTTTCAACTTCTGCTAGTTTCTCTGTGTTGGTTCATGTCAAAAAAAAGAAAATGACATTAAGAGAATATATTCCAACAGTTTACAGAGGAGTAAAAGCTGTAATCAAGGTCAGACATCGATCAAAACAATCTTAGTATAACTACTTTTGTCCCATTAATGTAATTTCTGATTAAGAAGTAAATTTTGATTTTCATGACATGAATTAATATTAATATACCTAGCAAGTTAAATCACTAATAGTAATTCCTCTGTTCCATAAAAGGATGTTCCTACATACATTAGTAAAAAGATTTACAAAAAGGTTAAAGCAAACTACTCATAGCCAAAACACTTAATTGTGTAACTAATAGTTACCCTAGCTATCTTTACGAATTAGAACTCTCATTAGTTACACAGTTGTAATGAGACTCAAATCATGTAATGCACTGAAAGATTAAGTAGAAATGAAACAAACCTGGACAATCTTTGCGAGGAGAGTCTCGGATACGAAAGTATTTCTCAAATGTACCAGCCCATGCATCTCTCTTGGTAAGGAAATGAGACTTCAGATTAAAGAGTTTCTTCACAGTTGCTGGTATAGAAGAATGCTCAAACTGTGAACTTGGTGTAGGACCATCAGGTTCATGTATCACTACAACAAAAAAACAAAAACAAAAACGCAAAACAATTCACACACATAAACATTACAACATACGCTACAAGGAAACCATCTAATACATTACATACCAGTACCCTTCTCAATCCAAGGAGAGATAACAAAAGTAGGAACCCTCACACCCAACCGATCAAACCCGAAATAAAACGGGTCCGGTCCAATAATCCCATCAGGATTCGGTACACCTTTAACCGGAGTAGGAACATGATCATAAAACCCACCGTGTTCATCATAAGTAATAACCAAAGCCATCTCTTCCCACTGAGGACTACTCCTCAACGTCTCGTACACTTCCTTAACAAACCTCTGCCCCGCCGCCACGTCATGCGACGGATGATCATCATTCGCCGGAAAAAGATCAATATCGAAATACCTCTGCTCGATAACAGAATAGTTAGGAAGCTTCCCTAGCTTCGCGTGGAGCTTGAACTTAAGCGCGTAGCTATGAAACTTCAACAAATGTTTAATCCTCCGGAGAGATTTAAAGAAGAACGTTGCGGGGATATTTTGGTAATATATCCCGAAGCTGAGTCCGTTCTCTTCTAACGAGTCAAAGATTGTTTTCTGAGGAAAGCCTCTGATGAGATCCTTTTTGACGTTGCTTGAGCATCCGTGGGAAGTAGCTGAGTGGACGTAGAACCGGTTCGGTTGAGTGGAAGTTGGAACCGAAGCGAACCAACGGTCGAATATACCGAATTGGTTAGCTAACTCTGTGTAAACCGGTAAAACTTCCGGTTTAAACCCGCTCATGACGTTTTTAGCCATCCCTGGCTCCATGCTCTCGGCTTCCTGAGCGAACCCGTTCATTTTCGGGTCGCCGGATGTGTCGTTGGATCCGAATATCTGTTCACGGATGGCTTGGAACGAGTGGCCTGGATCCATGTCGACGAAAACGGCGTCGTTTGAGACGTAGATTTTTTGGGAGTTTGGATCGGAGACGTTGAGGGGGTTTGACTCTGTTCCGGTTAATCCGTCGATTTCGGGTCGGGTTTGTTTGAGCCAGCCGAGGATGTGGTCGAAGGAGCGATTCTCCATGACTATGACGACTATGGTCTTGATTGGTCCTTCGATCTTGTGTTTTTTTTTGGGGAAGTGGTTGAGATCGAGAGAGTGGGAGGAGATTAGTAAGTAGAGGAAGAGAGTAACGGTGACGGATCCTCCTCGCCGGAGAGTCATTTTTTTCGGTGAGTTTTGGACTCGGCGGAGTTTTCTAGAGAGTTGAGAGAGGAGACAAAGGGATATACTTTTAGCAATGGATACCACGAAATTCGAGAGCGACGAAGCCGGTGACTTTTCTTTTCCGACGGCAACGAATTTTCTCTTTCTTACAAGAAATAAATATCTTTTTAGGTTTTGACTAAAAGTCAAAGGAAAGAAGCCTAACCAAACACTTGGCCATAAACAATGCGTGCGTCTCTTGTCGGCAAACTATATATTAAAGTACAAGTTAGTGAGTTACATGGTGTTCCATGATACAAACATAACTTGAAAAATTGTTTGCGTATCTAATTTATGGCTGTTACGTCTAGATTTCGATGATTTATGAAGGCTTTGCAGTATGTTGAGTGAACTCTTTTTCTAAATAGATGCAGCGACTTTAAGTAAACATAAGCATGGAAAAAATAGTTACAATTTTGTATTGGTACAAAAGAAAATCATTCAATCTCAAAAAGAAAAAACGTTTCGTTAGTACAGAATAAAACTCGATGTGTTTTCCATGTGAATCGTCTTTTTGTTAGTTTTGTTTATTTTTACTTTATCACATCTACACGATAGACACATTCATGAATTTTGACAGGATAGAATAAATTAATTTAATGTATAGACAACTACTACGTATTAAACTATAGTTTTGCGCAATTATTTTCCTCACTTTTGTATGCTTAACTGGACCGAAACTTGTGGTCCAAGAGTAATAAGTGTCTTCTGTGACTTTTGTCGTAACTATTTACTAGTTTATTCAGTCACATGGAAAGCCATTAACATAGCAGAGGTCAAGAGAAAACTCTATCCTGTGTCTCATTTACTCCAAAACAAAGCCTCTAGAAAAAAAAAAAAAATAGCAGAGAGATGAAGAAATCTGAGCTTATCTTCATTCCATTGCCGGAGACTGGCCATCTTTTATCAACAATCGAATTCGGAAAGCGTTTGCTAAATCTTGACCCTCGTATTTCAATGATCACAATCCTCTCCATGAACCTCCCTTACGCTCCTCACGCAGACGCTTCCTTAGCCTCGCTCACAGCCTCCGAGCCTGGTATCCGACTCATCAGCCTCCCGGAGATCCAAGACCCGCCTCCCATCAAGCTCCTCGACACCTCCTCCGAGACTTACATCATCGACTTCGTCGCGAAAAACATACCATTTCTAAGAAAAACAATCAAAGACTTAGTCTCATCATCTTCCAAAGAAGACTCAAACCATGTCGCCGGCTTGATTCTTGACTTCTTCTGCGTCGAATTGATCGACATAGGACGTGAGGTAAACCTTCCTTCCTATGTCTTCATGACTTCAAACTTCGGTTTCTTGGGGTTTCTACAGTATCTACCGGAACGACACCGTTTGGTTTCTTCCGAGGAGTTTGAAGAGAGCTCAGGAGATGAAGAGTTACCGATTCCGGCGTTCTTGAACCGTGTCCCGGCCAAGGTTCTGCCGCCTGGGGTGTTTGACAAACTCTCTTACGCGACTCTGGTCAAAATTGGCGAGCGGTTAACTCAGGCAAAGGGTATTTTAGTAAACTCGTTCTCGGAAGTGGAGCCGTACGCTGTTGAACATTTTTCAAGTGGAGATTACCCACGTGCGTATCCTGTTGGGCCGGTTCTCAACTTAACGGGCCGTACAAATCCTGGTCTAGCTTCGGCCCAATACGAAGAAATGATTAAATGGCTAGATGAGCAGCCAGACTCGTCGGTTTTGTTCCTGTGTTTTGGGAGCATGGGAGTTTTCAGTGCACCTCAGATCAAAGAGATTGCTCATGCCCTCGAGCTAGTAGAGTTCAGGTTTATCTGGGCGATCCGAACAAACATGGAGGGAGACGGAGATCCTCACGAGCCGCTTCCAGAAGGATTCGTGGATCGAACAATGGGCCGTGGAATTGTGTGTAGTTGGGCTCCACAAATAGATATCTTGGCCCATAAGGCAACCGGTGGATTCGTGTCTCACTGCGGGTGGAACTCTATACAAGAGAGTCTTTGGTACGGTGTACCAATCGCCACGTGGCCAATGTACGCAGAACAACAGCTGAACGCGTTCGAGATGGTGATAGAGCTTGGCTTAGCCGTGGAGATAAGACTTGACTATGTAGCTGACGGTGATAGGATCACGCTAGAGATCGTGTCAGCTGATGAAATCGCAACAGCCATCAGATCATTGATGGACGCTGATAACCCTATCAGGAAGAAGGTTAGAGATATACAAGTAGCAGCGAGGAAAGCTGTTAGCAACGGTGGATCTTCTATGGTAGCCACCGGAGATTTTATCAGAGATATTCTTGGTGATCACGTTTGATACATCCTCCACTGGAGCAAAATTTGTCACGCAAATTTCAATAAGTAAACAATGTTATCAATGTATAAGTAAAACAAGCTGTTATGTAAACTTAAATAAGCAAACACTATTTGATTGTGATTGTGCGAAAACTTAAATAAGCAAACACTGTCTGAAAACTTGAAAATTAGTTATTAAGGCAGAACCTAATGCATTGGACACATGATTGGTCAAACGATAACGTTATTACAACAGAACTAAAAAGCTTAGCCCATCAACTCGTCAATGAAACGTTTAACCGCAACAAACGAAGATCCACCATCCTTGACAGCCAACCTCGCAGCTTCCGCCATCTCCTTAACTCTTTTCCTCGGCGTATCCTCACCGTCCATCAAAGACCTTACAGCTCCCGCGATCTCCTCACCTTTCACCACCTCTCCATTCGCAGCAACGTAATCCATACGCAGCTCCACGCCCAAACCCAACTTCTTAACCATCGTGAACGCGTTTAACTGTTGCTCAGCGTACATCGGCCACGTGGCGATCGGTACGCCGAACCACAAGCTCTCAAGCACCGAGTTCCAACCGCAGTGAGACACAAACCCTCCTATAGCCTTATGAGTCAGCACTTCCACTTGTGGCGCCCAACCGCAAACCAAACCTCTGCTCGCCGTCCGATCTCTAAACCCATCAGGCAACAGATCGTACGGAGAAGCTTTCTCCATCGGATTTGTCCTAATGGACCAAAGAAACCTGTGACCCGAGATTTCTAGAGCTCGAGCTATCTCCTTGATCTGTGACGCTCCGTGGATACCGAAGCTTCCGAAGCAGAGGTAGACAACTGAAGACTCAGGCTTCTCCTCAAGCCAGCTCATGATCCTGTCCTTATCAGATGGATCTAGATCAGGAGACGGACGATCCTCTAAATTAAGAATCGGTCCGACCGGGTAAACCGGAGGATAGTTCTCATGACTACGAGCAAAGTAATCAAAAGCTTTTAGTTCAAGACTTGTGAAAGAGTTTACCAAAATGCCTTTTGCTTCAGGGAACTTCGCTGCAATCTCAACCCAAGCCTCGTAGGACTCTCTCACGAACAGACCTGGCGGCAAGACATTCGTCGGTACGGAGCATACGTAACCGGGAATGGAGTGTTCAACGTCGCCGGAGGTTAGATCAAGCTGGGAGGGGTTTTGGCGATGTCTCTCGGGGAGATACTTCATCATACCCAAGAAACCAGCGTTACACGTGAGGAAAATGTAAGAAGGAAGGTTAAATTCTTTTCCGACATCGATCAAAGGGACACAGAAGAAGTCTAGAATCAAACCGGCGATGCGGACCGAGTCGGTTCCATTACGAGAAGAAACTAGGGTGGAGAGAGCTTCTCTGACTAGAGGAACTGTTTTCTTGGTGAAGTCAAGAAGGTAAGCCTCGGAGGCTTTGAAGAAGAGTTCCAATGGTGGAGGGTTTTGAATCTCAGGCAAGGACAAGAGGCGGATTTGAGGCTCTGAAGCGAGAAGAGATTTAGCCAAGTGGCTTGATTGAGGAACGAAAGGTAGGTTCCAGTGGAGGATTGTGATTGTGTTAATGCGGTTGTCATGTTTGATGAGAGACTTGGCGAATTCAATGGAGACAAGAAGATGGCCAACGCCTGGAGAAGGAACGAAGATGATATCTTGCTTCCACATCTTTTTCTTTTCTCCTCTCTGAATCTCTCTGTTTTTTTTCTTTTTGGTTTTGGTTTGTGTCCCCTATAGATCATATATTTAAATAAGGAATGATGATTGATTGATGTAAAAAGCTTCCAGCCTTGCACGTTATGCAGGATGTTTCATAATCAGTTATCATTATGCAGTAATTCATCATTGTTTGTATGTCACGGGTTTACGTTATAATTTTTTTTTTTTGTCAACATTTTCGTTATAATTACCATTTACTTTTTTTTTTGAACTGATTATAATTACCATTTACGAATTTATATACTCATGACTTTAGTGATATCTGAAATCATATACTATATATGTAGATATTTCAAAACAAATTTAGTAGAGAAATCAATGTCTATTATTAGAAGAATATCTATATTTGGTGATATATATAGATACCTATATAGAAGAGTATCTTAAAGAATAAATTTAAAAACATTTAAAGGTATTATGAAAAAAATATTAAATTATAATTAAATATTAATATTATTATTAATTATAGTTGTCTGAGAGTGTATGACAACACTACTTAATGAATATTTGGCGGCAAAGGAATCGGGAGACAAAACCAAAGTGATACGGGCCCCACCACTAGAGGGAAAAAGCTAACTACTTTCACCGGGACAAGCTTCTAGACCCACTACAACTCACCAACTCTTTTTTGGAGTTTCCTCCATTGTTCTCACATACACAGATGACAGCAATTAGTAAATTTATGGATAGACCCTACAAACCGCTTAAAGATGATGAGACATTAGTTTACTAGCCATGACAACTTAACTAATCTGGCATATAATTGGTTGAAGCTTAGTCGTTGAATAATATGATGAAACATTAGTTTACTAGCCATAACAACTTAATTAAACTGGCATATAATTGGTTGAAGCTTAGTCGTTGAATAATGTGTACCTGCTCTAGTAGATCGTTCTCTGCCACAGTAAGAGGAGAGAAAGTGGACAACTTCGAAGTGTAAGCAAAATTTACATAAGTTCTTCTCATAGAAGACAGTTCCTAAAAAATCGTATTCCCTGTTGATTTATACATGAAAACGAAGTGTTTATCAGAGACTGAATCAGTAATTTTACTTCGAAAGGAGTGTATTTAACACCAACAAAAAGGTTTTTTACCTGTAGAGCAAATGTAATGTCTGTTTCGTCTACTCTCAGGCTTACTCTCTTTACCTTATCTCTACGAGCTTGACAGAATTTTAAAATCCCCTGAAAGCAAAACGAAACGACTAATGTATGTTTAACCAGGAATTGTTTTTTCGTGATTTGAATGAACTATCAGCATACACAAATGCAGCTAGCTTTTTACCAAAGAATACTCACGGCAGCGATAGTAGTTACCTGATCATTTAGAACTGTACACATGTTAGTGAACTCTGTATTTCCAGCTGGAGAAATCACCCAAGATTTACATATTTCTAGGTATAACTTATTAAGCTGCATGGAAAGAGAGAAATTAATAACTCAGAATAACGTTTTGGTTTTAACTCATGAAGTCATGTGTTCTGTGTTAAGGTTTCTAAACAAATAGATTTACCTCTCCAACGGTTGCATCCTTTTTGGTCCCTCGAAAAGCCTTTGCAGCAGAACATATTATGATCTGTGAATCGTATCAAGAGAAGAATGTGGTAATTCCGGTTAGATATCACCCTTGCTTAGTTATAGAACGTTTTAAGACATCGTTGTGACTTGTGACTTTGAATATGAACGTGTGTGGTGTGAATGTAACTTACTTGTTGGTGTTGAGGAAGAGACTGAATAGTGTCAACCACAGGAGACTTATACGTCTTAGATAATGCAGCAACCATATGATCGATCCGCACCTGTAACATTGAGTACAATGAGGGCTATGCAATAAGACCAAGGTCTATAAGAATCCTTAATTTAATATCAGTGTGTAACCCGAACTTAAGAGAATAAAGACCCGAATACTTACCAGTGGATCATCTGGAGTGGGACCTTGTGATACTGGTCCAGGTGATCCTCTTATTTCCATTTCTAAGATTTCTATAGCAGTCCTGCAAATTTGAAGCAAATGAGAATGTAAATCTCGGTTGGTTCACTTTAGAGTAGTAATTTCCATAGTATACGAAATATAAAGCCAATATCTCCTATGTTTTCAAAACAAGAACAAATTCTGTGAAAAAAATGAAAATGTTGAATTCACCTGCAGACAGATAAAGCCTTTCTCATGTCACCTGATGCAGCTGCAACTTTCTGGCACAATGCAAACAAAGATAAATCATAAAAATTAATGGTTAGTGGAAAAAAAAGTTGGAGCAGGAATGAGATAAAAGATCAGGCGACCAGCAATAATCGGATGCTTACTCTTGCACAGAGCTCCAAGGCGTTTGATTGAAATGCAACATATGGAAGAACCTGTCAGAACAAAGCTTGAAAATTAGTGAGACATATATAGAAGCACCATAGCTCCAAGGCGTTACTGATTTCACTGTCTCAAACAAGACATCTTATCATAGATTTGGAAGGAATTACCATTAGTCTTTCCTGTAGTATTCTAAGGATCTGATCTTTAGAATAAGCGCGGAAAGTTAAAACCATAGGTTTGCCTGCAAAGAAATAAAAGAAACAGCAGTTTAAGAAGAGAGAACAAAGTCAAAAATTACAAATTAAACAAATTCTCACAATTAAGGGACTTTAATTTTGGAAGGAAACGATCTGCGAGGTCTATTGCATTTGCTACACCTGGAAATAAGGAAAAAACGATAAGAGTAACTTAAACTGCATACGAAGTATGAACAGAGGAGGTGAATACATATATGAATTGAATTATAGCCTGAACCACTTAAATACAGTACCTATAAGTATACACCTTGAAAATGGCAAAGTTGTAAGCATAAAAAGATCATGCAGAACCCCTCTGTCTTTTGTGATCAAGAAATCCATCTCATCTGCAATTATTAACCTGGAAAAAGAACTTCAATAATGATCATACTAGTTTAATCGCCATAGGTAACTGATACACAACAAAAGGAAAAAAAAATGTACATCATTCTTGAGCTGGACTCTTGCTTTTGAGAAAACAAACTCTGAAGATGTTGTAGAGGTGAAGAGTGACAGTTATTTTTCTTCAGTGGCTCTACTATTTCAAGTATCTAGAAACATACAGAAGCATTAAATATATCCAACTTGAAAACAAGAATTTTGAGGTTTATAGTTTATATACCTTGCTGAATATATCAGTTGCCTTTGTTAGTGAAGTGCAGTTCACAGACAATGTATCCACAGGTGGCAAACCGGCCTGATCAAAATCATTCAATCTTTCAGTCTTTTTGACACTTACAAACAAATTTTAAGTTATAAACTACCAAACTGCTACCTGCTTTGACCAATCACCAACTTGTTTTACGACTTTCTCCATGGAGAGTGATTTCCCAGTTCCAGGACAACCGCATATGTATAAACTCCCAGCCTTCTGCTGATCCAAGCAGCCTTTCAAAAACTCGAAAACATGTCTTTGTTCATCCTCACGGCAGACAACTGTAGATGGTGCTTTCGATACGTGAAGTGCCTCCTTCACAGCTCTCATTTGTTCCTCATCTATTCATATTAACTAATAATTATACCATCACAATTATCACATGAACTAACCAATGGAATACTGAAGAGAATCTAACGATTCATGACTACCTTTAAGGTTCCACTTAGGTTTAGAGCCTGAACAATCAGATGAGTTCTCCATTGCAAAATTGACTGGATTTGCCAAATTTTCGTTATAGTCTTGCTTAACTTCCTGTAAATAAATATAATCAATGAGAATTGATAATCATTCGATTCCATAGAAATTAAAAAAAAAAAACAATCCAACAGTTACGGATACGTTCAGCAGGAAATAATCTAATGCAGGCGAGTGATTTAAATCAAACAGTTTACCTTCTCTGGCGTGCTGAGATTGGAAACAGCATCGACGAGATTTCAATTTCTTCGGCGTAGAGATTGTATTCTCAGACACGAGATTGAGTTCCTCCGATCTCAGCTTTCTCTTCTGAGGAGTCTCTGTGCTCTTCGATTTCTCCGATCCGGCGATAGTAGGCATTTTGAAGACACTAAAAGGCAATTTCGAAGCGAAATTGGCAAGAGGAATGGTGTAGATCCAATCGTATTACGAATCAATGTGTTTGGAAGTGTGAATAATTTTTTAGTAGATGGGGAAAACGTTAACCGCGAACATTTTCGCATCCCGCCTCTTTGTTCTGATGCCGTTTTGAAATCGCCCAGCTTCGCGGCATTTTTTATTTGGGCCTGAAAGGGGCCTATGTTGGGCAAATATCGCATGATAATATGGCCCATTATAGCTGACGTCAAGTTTTATGGGATCATGAAACTAGCTAGGCAGCACTGCTTTGGTTAATATTAGCTTTTTCATAAATAAGTGATTGTTTTTCATCCATTTTGGCTTCTTGGCTATATTAAATAATTGTGTTTCCAGATTTAATCATGATGGATAGTTCTGAATCTGATGAAGTGGTGAGCTAACTAATTAGTACACGGTTCAGTAATTTACGTATACAACTTGATGATAACTTCTGCCTTTGTGGTCTTACACACACAGATAAGATCACATGCTCGCTAGTGCTGAGACTACACACACTTTATGCACCCATTTACCTAAACAAAGCCTTTCTTCTCCTAATAAAACTCATCCTCCATTACCCAAATATACTTATATTGGCATCCAAAATGTCTTCATATCTTAGTTACTCGAACATTCCCAACAATAGTCTTTCGTGCTGATACTCTTCCACAAAATTCACTAAACCTGTTTAGTACTAGTCTCTTACCACGCATAAACAAAACTAATTAATTGATCAACTATATTAATTAGTTGTTTTACTGATCATCTGACTATAGTGCCTCATGTTTTCTTGCTTTCTTAACGACTTGAGAATCTTTGTATTTGTGCGCATTTGATGTTAAACTGTTCCATAAAACGACGCTGAGAATCGGACAAATACTAAAAGTGGGCTCAGATATTTTATTTTATTTCTATATATCTCATTCGAAAACTTTATTCGGGACGAAAAACGTCCAAGGTATCGCTGATATTATATTATCGTATATGTACCAAAAACAAGAATAATTACAAATGGAAAAACAATTAAAATATCTTCTTTGTCAAAAAGAAAATAAAATTTATAGATTGAAAGAAGATAAGAGAAATGAGAATGGCATTTGCCGTGCCGCTCCTTCTGCTAGTCTCTCTCCAGCTCTCCCTGTCGACGAGTTATAATCATTTGGCCATAGCCTTGTATCAAGAGCCATTACGAAAACTTATATTCCTTTTCCGCTATTATAAACAATCAAGTAACGTTTTGTATCGCAGGTACTATCACAAGGTCGTGTGATGTCGTAGATCATTTACACATTTCTCATTGGTTGATTGATTCTCTTGGAAAAGAAGTATCAAGAGACCATAAAACGCATATCACATTTGTTGCGACATTTTTTTATCTATGCAAGTGCAATCAATGAACAAGTCTTTGACTATCACATGGTTTGGTTTTATCATTTTCTATTTGTTTTATTTACCTCCTTACCATTTTGGACATTTAGCGTTTGAATCTTGCAGTTGTCTCGCAACTCCATTGTTGATTGTCGAATTGCCCATAAAGCTAATTACTCAATAATTAAAAGGGAAACTTTTGTGTCTCAGAAGCATGCACGTTCTTACGTGGTTGATCGGCAAATGTAAACTAAAAGAAGGACAAAAGGAACTTGGAAAAAAATAAAACGAATATAAGGGTACATATATACATTCAATCATAGTATTTAAAAGGTAAAAGGAATCATTAAAATTAAATTAACATGATTCGATAGAATCACATCGACAAGGACATATAAGCTAATTAAGTATACATTATGTCTGTGAGATATATCCAATAAGTATCAGCCGTTAATAAATAAGATATCAGCAGTCGACATACCGTCAATTCTCCTTGAGCATCTTCACTCTCTTTGGAGTTTGGACGTTGCTTTCTCTAACGACGTCAACTTCCGTCAACTTGGTGCTTAGCGTCTACCTAGCACCACTCTCCGGTCACTTCTCTTTTATTCTCCACCCTCGCTTCCTTACCCTCTCCCTTTAATTGCTACGTCCCAACAAAAACTATTTTGTTTTAGTAACAAAGGCTTTTACGTATTTAACCTTTGTATACTTTGTCCTTTCTACTTAATTTGATTTTGATACTGTAGTTTTGCATGCATGCACATATTGAATGTACGCTAATTGTTTCCCTGCTACGTACCATATATAGATAAACTACTAGTTAAATGATGTTGTCATGCTGTTATGCCAGATTTGATATCATACGTATACAATATATGTACTCTGCAAGAACATACAAAGTGTCTTTATCTGTGTATGCTCTTCAGTGGTATTAATATGACACTCTATAGGCTTGGCAACTAAAATTAGGTGATATATAACATATCTTGGACCAGAGTGTGTTTTACTTACTCCTATCAACTGAAAGCTAATAACATGATAATACATCGGAATTCTTATTGATCCAGGGATTTTTCTTTAAATGTTTCTTTTTCATTACTACTTACTCATATTTGAGCAAGCAGATTTCATGAAATTAATTCACCAAGACGTTTAAAGATAGGTCTACTTTCAAAATTTGCAACAGAATATTAAAAACATGACTCGATATGCTAGAAAAAATATCATTCAATTGATTTTAGTAATGTTTTTTTTTCTACATTCCGCTAAGACTACTTAATTGAATCCTAACCATACAGTTTTACTATTTTTACTTTGCTTAGCATTTTGGTAATGATAACTTATTCGGTGTGAAATATCACCACATGACTAAAGCCTATATTATTGCCATTCTTCGAGGAGATACTATATGTGTTTTGACTTTTAACTTCTTAAATCCATTGCTCAATGCATTGCATGAATTGAGTTCGTAAAAGGTTGATAAATCTGCAATTTACTGTCACATACATAAGCACATGAAAACATCAAACTCATTTACGTTCAAGAACATCATTCTTCGGCATTTATGAATTTTATAAATGAAAAATTGAAGTTCCAACATTAAACATGGATTGGAAACACGAGTTTAGACGCAATAAACTTTACCTTAATAATAAATAAAAAAGGTCCTTACCAGATGACATGGACACGAGGACCCCACGACTTTTGCCTACCTTATTGCCAGCCTGTTATTTTCACACTCCTACTTTATTCTAAAAATATTTTCTTTAAAAAAATATGTCACTGTATCTACACGTGTAACTTTATATGTCGTCTAATGTAATTTACGTGCCATTTTTCCAAATCTGTCAGAAAAAAAAAGAGAAGAACCGTACGATCAAGTAAAAAATCTAGAGAACCGTCAGATCTAAAACAAAACTCCCCGGTTTCCACTCACTTTATTTCTCTGTAACGGGTGACACGTCACTAGCTTCTTTAACTCCTTACCGGTTTCTCCGGTATTCCTCTATTGACTATTCCACGTAAACTCTTTTTCACATGCGAGATTTTTTTTTTTTCCCAGTCTTTGATTAATCTTCTCTTTGCGCTTATATAAAAAGACCAGCTTCCTTCTAAAGTGAAGCGTCTGTCTCCTCGTGTTCCACTTCAGAATCATCCCGAGAAAAGTTTTTTATTTTCTTCTTCTTTCATTTCTAGAGTGAGTTTCTTCTTCTCTCTACACACAACTTTTTATATGTTTATAAGTTTCATTGATTCTTGTGCTTTTCTTCGATCCGTTTCTCATGGGGATCGTAATGATTCATTCTCGTGAGAGTGCATGTATTTAAAAGAACCGTTACTTACTTGATTTCATCTCTTTGTTTTTGCAGGAAAGCGTGAGAAAGACGAAACTAGCCTCCTCTGTTTCTTTTATTTTCTTGCTAAAACAATAATGGGCGTGAAAGTAGCAACAACCTCAACCTTCCATCACTTTGTAGCTGTTCATCATTCTCAAACCCTAGTTTCCTCCGCCGTTTCTTCTCCTTCAAGACGACGTAGCTTCGGACACTCATGTCGCTCCCTCATGCATAGCCCTCCTCCTTCTTCACCTCTCTTCGGCTCTTCCAATCTCCGCCACTCCAAATCTTCCTCTGAGATTCTGAAAACATCAAAACCAACAAAAACTCAGCTCATCCGCAGAGCTTTCACCGGAAACATCGACCCTTTCTCAGAAGAAGAGTTCTCCAAAAAGATGGAAGAACTCTCTCTCAAGTTCCAAGAAGACAACGAAACAGAGACGACAAACAGTTTCGGCCTCGACAGAACCAGTTCGGTCCAACCACCATGGCCCGAGATGATCCAAATGTCAAGCAGCATCGAGAGGAAAGCAAACAGCGTCGATCTTCCTATCTCCCTCCGCATCATCAAAAGAAAGCTACAGATGGAGGAAGGACTAATCAACCAAGTAAGCGAATCAGCTTGCTGTTCTGTTAAAAGAGCTTTCTCTTCTATGGTGTTTATGATCCGTGAGCTACAAAGCTTCACGCTACACATGAGAGAGCTTCTCCTCTTCGAAGATCTTCAAGGGATTCTCCTCCGCGTTAGAAAAGAGATGCATGCGTCGTTCGTGTGGCTTTTCCAACAAGTTTTCTCCGCTACTCCTACGTTGATGGTCTCTGTTATGATCCTCTTAGCTAACTTCACTGTTTACTCTATCGGTAACAACTCTGCTCTAGCCGCAGCCGCAACTCCTCCTCCGACGATGGATACAGTCTTGTTTAGTTACGACAGGACGGAGATAAGTGAGACACATGAGAAGTTCGAGGACTCTATGATTAAGACGTTCTCTGTTTCTTCTAAGACATCTTTTGTCGGTGGAGGAGGAGGAAACGGTGGGAACAACGGTCCCCCCGTGCAGAGTGGAACAGATGGAGATGGTTCTGATCAGTTCAGAACACCGTCTCAGTTCTCTTCATCGTCTCTCGGCGCAACGGATTCAGATGTGTCCGTGTCGGGGCAAGAAGAGAGTAGGCTCTGGAGGTCGATCTTGGAGGAGTCTGAGAAGATGGAGAAGATGGATCACGAGACGATGAAGCAGATGGTAGCTCCCGTGGAGGCAAGACTAGAAGCAGAAGAGTCTATGGATTACTTTAAGACAGAGCTTCTTTACCAAACGGGTCTGTCTCAGCAGCCTGATAATGTTCTCCTTCTTGCTAATTACGCTCAGTTTCTATACCTAATCATACATGATTACGACAGGTAATTAACATAATACCATCATGTTATAATTGATTTTGCTATTTAAAGTATGTTATCATATGATTAGAGAGTTTTAGATTTGGTTTAGGAGTTAAGTTAGATTATTACAGGGTGCTAGTGATAGATATTAATTAAGTGATTGTCATAATCAAATCACTATAAGAAGTTAAGAACCAATCGGATAGGCTTAAAACGAGTGAACCAGTTCTTTCTTTGCCACTTAAGAGATAGAAGACAACTTGTAGATAAAAATCTACATCTCCATTTTCAGAATAAATTAGGGAATAAAATTAAAATGATGCAATCTTGTTTTCTTTCCCAGAGGTTTTGTCTTTTAGCTTTGAGTCTTTTTGGTTTTGGTTCCCAACAAATAAAGAAAAAAAGCTTGGTTGATAGTGGAGTATGTGGTGGAGTTGTGAAAGATTATCTCTCCTCTAAAATACTAAAACCAAAAGGTTTTGTTAATAGAGGAGCCCATGTGTTTATGCATCTGGTTGTATAAAGCAAATAATATTATTAGGTCAAATACTATTTAAAACCTATAGATATTTTGGTGATAAAGTCTCCAGGCAGTGGTTTGACATTTTAGCCATGACTATAATTCTGTATAGGTTCCATTTTAGACAATTTTCATTTGATGTTTCTGTCTGTCCACATTACAGAACCAGAACCCAATTCACTTACGTTCTCACTTATCCTTTTGGACTTATTCATATTTTAGCCATGACTTATTCATATTCATATCTTATCACCACAACTGTGTTTGATATTTGTCTCGTTCTAACGTGGCTTCTTCTTCTTCTGTTGTCTGAAAACAGAGCTGAGAAGTATTTCAAGAGAGCGGCAAAAGCAGAGCCAGCGGACGCGGAGGCGCTGAGTAAATACGCGACGTTCTTGTGGAAGGCAAGGAACGATATCTGGAGAGCAGAGGAGACGTTCTTGGAAGCAATCTCTGCTGATCCAACAAACTCATTTTACTCTGCAAACTACGCACATTTTCTTTGGAACACTGGTGGTGATGAGACGTGTTTCCCTCTCGACGCTCCACCGCAACAGAACACAACCTAAAAGAAAGAGAGAGACACAAACAATTGTCTAAGTGTACAGTGTTTTTTTTTTTCATACAACTCATGTCATGTGGCAACTTTTTGTTCTGTAAAACAAAAAAGACTTTTGTTTATATATTCGTTACATATTTCTAAAGTTTTACTTTTTATTTTATTTTAATGTACTTGGACTATTCCATGGTGTCACGGACTTGTTCTTTTACGTGAACAAACCATGCGTCTGTCAGTTTTTCATCTACTTTACACAGAGTCCAGAGAGACGATTATTTCCTCGTTGAAAGTTTATAATATGTGTCCATGACAATGATATTCTTCTGATTGAATGCATAGTAATTATAATAAGGGCTTATTGGCGAAGTAGCCATGTTTGCCTTATAAATTAGGAAACTAGACATGATTTTGACATAATGCATTATCAGGTTTTTTGCCTTCATTCCAACCGGTTATGCCCCTAAAAGGAAGAGGTTGTCGGTTCCTTTTATAAAGTAATTGATGTGTTCAGATTCTGTGGTATAATAACAACCACATAATTTATGTAGC